TCTGAAATCTGAAGCAAACGGTCTGCTACCAGCACACAAGGGTGAGACCAAGTAAGAAAGGATGAGATGTGGCCCTTAATCCCTTCGCAGCCCACCCAATGGGGTCTGAAGGAGCTGGGCTAAGCAGGTTTTGAGCCATACCTGTGGCAGCACAAGCTGATGTCAGCCCGGTGTTACTGCAGTCCGTCCTCCCCAGTCACTCACCCGTGTGTCCATCTCCTCTGCAGAGGCTCCCCATTAGCTCCCTCCTCTCATCTGTGCCCCAGCCTGAGCTGCCAGCCCCTCAGCTTTGTAAAACCTTGTCAGCCACGCAGGGATGTGTGGTGGAGCACTGTCCTCTTCCAAAAAAAATGAGGCTTTTTGGTGAGCTGTTGGAGGGAGCAATTAATTTAGGTGTGCAACAAGCTAGAGCCCTGGTTCCTTTTGCAAGCTATCCTTACGTTTCCAAAAACTATTAAAAAGAAAAAGAGAAGTGGGAGCTTTCAGGACTAATGGCTCTCTGCAGATGCTCTGAAAAACGCAGGTCTGAGATGTGCCATACCTCATCTGCCTACAGCAGCACTCCAGAAACATCTTAGTGTCTGCTCCGCTCCCAGAGCTCTTCCAGACGCACTGGTCTCCAGATTAAATGACTTAAACAGCATGCGTTGGTTCAAGTACTGGACAATTGTAGGGAATTAATTCATGGATGTTTATGCACAACCTCTTCTTGGTAAAACCGCAGATGCATTTGCAGAAGGGCCTCTCAGCACTTCATTTGGTCTGTGCAATGAATCTGCTTTTCCCTTCTTTTTAACAAAGATCCCAAAGGGCTGCATAGCAGGCGAAATGCAGTGGGTTTTGTGTGTGAGAGGGAGAAAATGAATCCCGTTTAAAGAAAAGTAATTTTGGTATTATAAAACCTGGTTGGTAGGTCTTATCTGCCTGTCTCTGGTGGCATGCTGTGGCTGCTGAGAAATAACAAAGCTCTCATTTCCAGTTGTCTCTTCGGTTTGGTCTGTCAAGAAAATCTTATTCCAGCCTTGCTGCTGTTGTCACGTAATATGCAGTGTGGATCAGGTGAGGATTTGTGCATGACAATGTTGCTCTCAGTGTTTAGTCTGCCAGGCCCTAATACTACTTACTGTGCTTTTTAGACACGTTTGGAAAATGCTGCAGGTTGGAAACCTCTGTTGATCTCTGCATCCACCTAAGGTGCAAGAGGATACCCTGACAACCTGGTGGTTAAAGCTGGGTGGTCAGAAAGCCTGACCAAGCTCTGCCCTGTTGGTCCATTGGTGCTTTTCTCTCCATGAACCTTGGCTTCTCTGCCACCCAAGGGCTGGCTCTGCACCAGCCAAGGAAGCAAAACTAGGACATCTCCAAGGTTGTTCTCATTGGGAAGTGTGGGGAGCATAAAGTGGGAGCCCAGGTGCTGAGGGAAAAGCCCCCCTATCTAAAAGGTTTAACACATCCCAGGGGTGCATGTGGCTCTGCTAGAGGCCAGGCAGGGCCATTGCTGCAGTGCTGGAAAAGGACAGTGTATGAGGGCATGTATGTGTAGCAGAGGAGCCCTGAGTGCTCTGAAGTCTGACCTCTTAGTACACTAGAAAATGTTGTTTTGAACATCTTTTTCTTGAGCTTGGCCTTTGTCATTGAGAGCAGCCAATGTTGCTGCTGTGGTTCTTATTCCCTTGGCTAGTATCTGAAATGATTTCCCATGGGATTTCTGAATAACTCAGCGAGAGATCTTTCAGGACAAAGTGATTTTTTTCCCAAGTCTGTGAGTGGGAAGATTTTGCACAACCACACTCGTTCTCTCATGGATTTCATTCGTTTATGCTCTCACGTCTATGCACTCACAAGTACCAATACGTGCGTGTCTACATGTACGTGGTTTTTGTGACACATGCAACACGAGGCAGTGGCTGCTGAGTCCTCATCGCATCCCCAAGGCTGTTCTAGGCAAGCAGCAAACCAATCTTGTGTTTTCAGTTTTGGCTGCTGTCATGTTCCTTGCAACTTCTTGATAATTTTGTTTGTTTGTTTGTTTTTTCCATGCTGCTTTCGTTACTTGATTGAAGTCACAGATGGGGCATGATTGGCACAATGGGCACGTGCCAGTGCCATGCTCTGCCCATCCCTCTGGTGCCTGCTCATCTGCTCACTCTCACTGGCCATGGTACTGTTCCCTTAGTGCCATGATGAGTCTCTGTGCAATGCAACAAACCTTGAATGGTTTTGCTTAAATTAAACCAAACAGCCACCAGAAGTGCTTGATGCCCTGGTCAGGTGCCTGTGGTTCATGCAGAGGCTCCCAGCAGTAGATTTATGAGCTGTAAGGCTGGTAAACAGTGACCCAATCGTTTCTGTAGTGGAATGACACAAAGATAGAGTCCCAAAGAAGGATTTCTACACTTTCAGCTTCTGCATTTCCCAACCAGATTGTGTGTTGTGCAATGAGGCTTGTGGTTTGTGTCTCGTGTCCGTGGGGCACGTGGGTATCACGTCTGCACCACGCATAGGGTTAGGCAATTGTCTTCAGGAAGAGAGGTACTGGGCAAGCAAGCAAGGTCTTTTTTGTGCCTGTCTCCTAGCCCACACAATTTTTTTCCAAGTGGAGCAGCTGGATATATCCAGGAGTTTGTGATGCTGATGGTTGTTTCCACAATTTGTGTGTATGATAAGGCTTTACTTGACTCTCTCTGCTCAGCAAAGTAATTGAGGAGAAAACATTTCTGCTGAAGGAAAGAAATTGAGCTTTCTTGCCAGCTTAGCCACCGAGGAATGAAGTTGATTTCTGTCCTGCAGCAATTGTACATGAGCCAGTAATGGATCGTGTGAACTGGGTGAAAACTGGTGTGGACACAGAGGTCTGGTGGCCAAGCACATCGAGGCATCAGTGAGAGCATCAGCAGGGTGCAGGAAGACTTTGCTAGGCCTGGGGCAGAGCTGGAACAAGCCTGGCTGTTAAATGCTTGCTAAAAAATGCAAAGCTGAATATTTTATCATATCAAATTGAAGCTAGAGGTTTTGGAAAGTCGCTAGACTGTCCTCATATGTAGAACATTTATAAGGAGATGTGATATTTCATATACATGAAGTGCCTGCTGAGGTCAGCTGAAAGTTGCACTCACCCAGCTATAGCGGGGTTTGTTGGTTTCTTTTTTTCATTCTTTGGCTTTTCTAGAGGAAAGGGCAAAAAGTGATCATATGCCTGTGATAATCCGGAAAAGAAAACAGATGCGAAACAGCCTCCAAAGTGACTTCCTTTCTATACAGTGAATGACTGCTGCATATCGAGTGATGCACCAGTGACTCAAAACCACATACTTTTATTATTTTGATGCCTCTTTCTGACTTCATCCAGAAGTTGTTCTTGTCCCGGTTACTTTTTTTCATCTCATACTACCCCAAGCAGTGCAGTTGAGATGTCAAAGTCTTACCTACCTAATGCAGGCTTCCTGTTCCTATAGCAACAAAACTCGTCCTTGTACTTAATGAAGGCACACTGGAGCATGAGTAACTGCAACTTTAAGGCTTAGCAAAACAAACAGAAACACTTCATAGTTGCAGATTAGAAAATAAAACGGAAGTGACCTCTCTGCATAGAATTAAAAAAATCGCCTAGGCTTGGGATCCTTCATTAGTAAGAATGAAGCCATATTCATGTCATAAGAAGCTCTGTGCTTTAATCTCATTTTCCTAATTAAAACGTAAAAGCCTTTTATACCAAGTGAGAGTCTTTGAGGATTTTTCCCCCCTTCCTTTCCCAAAGCTGCTCTGTTTGTGGTTAAGCTAATGAAAATTTGGGCTGCTCGCAACAGACACATTTTCCTTTTGTATTGGCAAAAATCCATCAGTGGCTTTTGTCATGGGCTAAAATAAAAGGAGGAAAAAAAAATGTGGTGTCTAATCCTATATTTGATCTGCAAGCTGGTTCCTGGTCAGTTAATATAAATCTGCATTACAGTGATAAATGCTGAACAAGCTACAGATGAGAGAGTGAATGAATGAGCAGCTGTCATCTCTTCCTATTGTCTGATGGCTTTTCAATTACAATTTTAACAACCATTAAATTTTAATTTAAAACAACCATAGGAAACATCCCAAGGAAAAACACCACAGTGCTGTCAGCAACATATCATGAGCGTTTATGAGCCTACATTTCTGTATCAGCATGCCGATAAGTTCTGCACAACATTTGTGGCAGGTTTATGGGCTTGATTATTAATCTGTAGAAGTGAGTGTAGGCAAGTGGGAAATTTGAAATAGTGGGTTCTATTGTATTCCTACTGGCAAAAACATTATTTATGTTGGAATGTATTTGCACAAGGCAGTCCAATTTTACTGCTGTTTCTTCTGGAGATTAAAAAAAAAAAAGCTGCCTTTCTGATAAATTCATTTTATTTTCTGAAGACTGAATAAAGATAGACGGAACTTGTGGTTTAAGGAGGTTTTTGTCTACTAAACTCACTTGTCACAAAGCAGCTGAGACAACTGATAGCAGTGATGGTGGTAAATAGCCCTACAGCAGAAGAAAGGATGGAGGGCAGGATAAGACAGAGAGAAGGCTGTCTTGTTTGAAAGTTGATCAAGATTAGGTATTGCAAAAACAAAAAGCAAACCCAGGAACAACCCACTCAGCAAAATCCGGCTTGAAACTGGCTGAGTCACAGCGTATTCAGCTGTGGGCAGGTGGCATCCCATATGAGTTGGGGGGCTGTATCCTGCTGAGAGTGGTGGTGCTCTGTCTACCAGCAGATTGATTGGAAAGGCACGTAGTGTCTTTGGGTATTATGAAAAGGCTTGACCCCAAATCTATGAATTATCTTTTTCCCTCCATTTTCCTTTAAAATCAGTCTATGTATGTGTGCTATATATGTATTTGTTTTATTAAAATGAAGGACGTTAAGACCTTGAAACCTTTGTGAAGTTAGGCACCTGGCCAGGGGGAAGTAGACCTGTGGACACCTTCGTTGGTGGGGTCCTGACGCCGCTGCATGTGCTCTGTGTTTCAGGGATAGAGCTCTGTCCTCCTGGGCACCGGTTCATGATCACCATGGTGGCGAGCTTCATCGAAATGGCGGGGCAGTTCCTCATGCCGGGGCTGGCTGCCCTCTGCAGGGACTGGCAGGTCCTCCAGGCGGTCATCATCTGCCCCTTCCTGCTGATGCTGCTCTACTGGGTGTAAGTATTGCTTCCTCCTGCCACGTCCAAGTCAACACCAGCCCCTAACACTGGATTTGGGGGTGCTCACATAGGTTTTATGTGCTGAGGTGTGGTGGGGACCTGGGAGATGGCTCAACCATTGAGCTGAAAGTGGTACTTTGTAATTGTTTGGCTGTTGTGTCCCCTTTAAAGATGAAAAAGCCTCATGAGAGGACGCATCTCAGCCTAGCTGTTGTGGCTGCACAGCTAAATTTTCCCCTTAAACCTGACCTGTGGTTCTGGGCTGTCACTGTTGGTTCCTTTGGCCTGGCTTAGCCGAGCTAAATATAACACACATCCGCTCGTGAGCAGCACCCTTGGACACTGCGTGTGTGTGAGGTGGCCAGCCCTGAGCCTCCCTGCTTAGGTTTCTCCCAAATTATCATGTGTTGGGATGATGGCACCGTTCCCACAGGTTACTTCTCCCATCCTGGTTTCTTCTGGTCTTCTGCCAGCGTGAGGCTCCAGGCCCGATGCTGCCTACCCTAGAGAAATGGGAGACTCCCACCTTGGTGCTACTGGGTCTGTCTTCACCAGAACTTTATAAACCTCTCAAAAATCTTACTTTGTGCTTTTGTCTTAATAGTGACACACAGTGGTGGCACAACACAGCAGAGGCTTGCAAGAGCAGGATAGTACAAAAACGTAAGACTGAGAGCAGGCTAGGTAATTAATTTTAAAGGTAATGCTGACTAGATTAAAATATTTACTTGCTATAAGCAAAGGAACAGAGGAACTGGAAAAATTCACTGCTTGCTACTTACCCACCACATACCCAGAGCAGAGTATGGATAACAGGACAAATATCTTTTGGATTGCAGGCTGCCTGACTTTCCTCTTTTTTAATATAATTGTATACATGTATATATGTGTATGCATGTATAAATATGTGCATGTATAAATATACATGCACACACACACACATATATATGTATATTTTCTGTCAAGGATGAATTTCTTGCTAAGGGTGAAGTCCAAATTGCATCAGCCTTTAAAGGTAGCACCCTAACAGCGCCATTGACTGCACCACTGCTTAAAAGTACAAGAACGGAGGCAGCATCTGCAGCAAGGATTGGCACTTTGTGAAGGAAATTTGCGGTTTATTGTATATATGAAGTTAAAAGTTAGTTTTAAAATTTGTTCTTAGGAAGGTCTCTTAGAAGATGAGTGAAAATGAGGCCTAAATAAGAAAGAAAAATATGCTTATAGTCAAGTCTGAAACTATCTGTATTGATGCAAGTGTGGGGCTATTTTGTTTAAGATCTATGTATTTATTTTGCTTTTGTATGAAAATAAAATGTACTTATCTGGAAAAAAAACAGGGAATAATGGTTAATTACTCTGAAGAATCAGGTGAACATCAGCATTTGAAGGAAACAAGCAGATGAAAAGTAAACTTTTTTATTTTATAACTCTATGTGTATGCTTTTAAGGCAACTCAATTAGCATAATGTTGTCTTTACTAGGGGAAACTTTTATAGCAGCAACTGGATGTTGTCTGGGGCATAGACAGTACTGACCTGTATAAAAGAATGCCTTAAAATCTGTATAGATTTTTGGACATTTAAACATAAAAAAAAAAAAAAAAAAAAAAGTTCCATTATAATCCTGGAAAGTAATTCTTCTCTTTCCTCTCTCTATCTTTACATGAGAAATTCAAATCACTTCTGTCAGAAATTTTCCTACTGTGGTCTGAATTATCCTGCGTTAACTGCACAACTCATTTATTCCCTGCCTGGCAGCAAATGTCTATTGCATGCAGTGCTTCCTCCTTCTCCCTGCTCCTTCACAATGGTATTAGTAGGCAGAACTCCTCTAATATGTTATAAAATTCTAATACGTCCTATTTCAAGGTGATAGGATGGTTCCTGTATCATTTGTCAATCAGTGTAAAAGTGAATGTCACTACTTCCCATATTCTGAGCCCTTTTTATTAATTTTACAAGCCTTTTTCTGCTTTTTGAAAATAGTAATATTGCTCATGCATATTTAAATGAGCAGCTAATCACTATCACTTCTTTCTCTGCCAGAACTTGAAAAAAAAATCTAGAAACTTCCTAGAAACTTCCTAGAAATTGCACAAATTTGTCAAATTCCAGATGGTGAAGTAAAGCAATATCATTTGTACTGAGGAGAAACGTCATCCTTGTTAATTCAACAGACTGGGAGATGCCTTCTAGAAAGAAAGTGACCCTAACACGTTTTCCATCTCTCAAGTATTTTCCCAGAGTCCCTCCGGTGGCTGATGGCTACACAGCAGTTTGAGGCGTCCAAGGAACTTATCTTTCAGCTCACTCGCAAGAACAGGATGAACACGGAAAGTGACATCAAAGGAGTGGTGCCCGGTGAGTAGGACAGACAACCACAAGTCTGGCTGCTCAGGTGAAATTGCTTGCTCTTCTTTAAAGGCTGCGCATGGCGGTGCTGTCTGGAATTAAATAATCTATTTACCACCTGCAAAACCATCCTATTCATTCATTCATTCATTTTTTTTTCTCAAAAAACTGCTCCAAACTCCAGCACAATGTTTAATATTACTCAGCCTGCTGAGCAGTCTTAATATTACAATCTCACCTGGCAGTGCCATATGCTTTTAGGGACATCTCTTGAATAATTTTGCCATGGCTGCAGAGAGCGCCATCAGCTCAGCACGCCTCTGGAAAGTGTTTTAAGGAAGCTTCTGGTTGGGATCCTACCCATCACGCAGCGCTTGTTTTGTTGGCTGGGAGAAGTGGCAGCACTCAAGACACAATTTCTAAAACACCACTCCTGTGGCAGACCTAAATCACATCCCTGTTTCTCTTTAAAACCGTACTGCAGGAGGCATTTTGCCTTCTGCTCCTGTAGCTTCTGAACAATGCTGTCCTGCTGGTGACAGCAGCAGAGGGCAGTTTTTGGTTCAGAGCTCCTCTCCTCCTCCTCACAGGCTTGACAGTGCCCACAGATACCCGTTTTACAGTGTCCCCTGCAGTCTGTATCAGGCTACCTACCACTCAGAAAAGAGTGGAAATGTATTAGGGTGTTTTTTGCAGTTTTTCATACCCTACCTACTATGACTCTGGGAGCTGGAGGGGTACATCACCCCCACAGCTGTGCTCTCTCTGCATTTGGCTATTACTCGCTGTCAAGAATCTCTGGAGAAAGCTCAGGTCAGTCCTTGCTAAAGGTATCAATCAGCTCTGGGATAGACTGCATCCAGAATGGAAAAACATCACTGTTAAAATCAGTGCATCGTGAATGAAGCAGTCTTTATCAATAACATCCTTAAAAACTGATGGGACTAGGGAAAAGTCCAATTTGGGTCTGTGTTTCATCTTGGTATTGATACCAAGGCCAAAGGTATGGTATTTCTGGTGCAGTTGGCAGACTTGTGTTAATTGTCATGTTTGCAGGTGAATTGTATGTCAGGGGTTTCCTGGATCTGCATCGAACATAGCATGGCTCTGCAATGTAAATGACATTTTTCTGGTAAAGCTCTGGAAAGCTCATGGGTACAGAGCAGCTGTTAATGCAGTGATCTCCATCACTGTCTCTTTTTTGCAGATCTTTCCCAGAGTAAATGAACAATCTTGGAAATAACTTGTTTCTGAGGCAATGAAATGTCTCACCATTGGACTTGGAGACAGCTCAAGCTGTCTAACCAGCTCTAAATTTGGCCTTTCTTAGCTAGTCAGTGTATTGAATTTACAGACAAAATAAAATGTATTTTTAAGGGGAAAAAAATAATTACCTGAGTTTCCTTTAAGGGAAATTGTAAAGATGCAACTCAGTGCTAGAGGGATTTATTTAAGCCACTTATAATGATATTGTCCACAGAGGAATGCTAAGTGTCAAAATGGTTTTATGACTATTACTTGTGACTGATTACTTTTTCCAGCAGTTTCACGGTAGGGGCACACTCCTGTTTAAGGAGGGACTCCCTTTCATGTGGAAAACAGCGTTATTACACATCTTGGTGCTATGGACTCTCTGCCTGCAAATATATTTAGACATAGCAGTTGTCAGTAAGTTACCTTTTGCAGCCTTTCTACACATAATACAGAACGTGCTCAGTTCTACCTCCTTGCTGTTGCTGGATTTGTTTTATGGTGTGAAGTCGGGTTGGTTTTGTTGTTTTGTTTATTTTTCCTTTCTGGCTTTGTCTTTTTTAAAGTCTTTCTGCAGCCCCACATAGTAAGGCTTTTCTAGCCCAGCTCTGGAGCAATGCTTTATGTTTTGTAGGGAGAGAAAAACGAAGCAGTTATCACATGGATGAAATGAGCTTAACTAAAGATTTTGGAAGGGCATTCTTCTTCTGCATACATGGGAGCATTGATCATTTGAGTGAGGACAGGAGAAAAGCAGAAATTCTGAATGAAAAATATGATTAAAATGCACATCATATGTCTCTGGGTGGGTCTGTAAGCAGAAGAAAGCATATTTCTGCTTTTGTGTGTTGTAGTTGCATATACATAATTGCTGTAGCGGGGAATGGGCAAAAAGCTGGTATTCGTGTGTGAGAAAGGGTGCTATTCAGCCTGATGCTGATATCTATTTCTGCTTGAATCCCTTGTGGAGCTTTCCTATCTGAGTGAAGGTTTTTTGTTTGTTTGTGATTAGGTTTATTCTCTGCTTTCCATCCCAAAATGCTGGAAGCTGTTTCACTCTAGTTAAGGCCCAATGTGTTGCCGTCTGATATTAGTCATAGCAGCCTCGTGTGGCTGAGTTACTCGATTTATCTAAGCAGTAAGCTGCTCCCATACAGTCCCTTCCAACTGGAAACCTCAGCGTAATTCTACTCATGTGTATCAGTCAAATTAGTGTATGCTATGGCACAGGTCATTACAGGAGTTGTACGCTCACATTCGGGGCAATTGGCAGATCTTTTGATTTTTGGTAGGAACAGTTTGCCATGGTGAGGAGATTTTTGGTTTTATTCGGATGCACTTTCTTCTTTAACACTTAAGAAAAGTAGGTGTACCGATTTGATCTCTTTAAAGCATCTATAAACACTCCTAGGTCTCAAAATTTTACTAGCTGGCTCAACACTTTGCCCTCCTTTAGTGACAGAAGTTTAAATTCGTTTTTACAACAAAATAAATATTGTTATCCAACTGCATATTGAAATGTCGCTTATAAAACAGGCTTAGTAAGTTTTGTTGACAAATTATGTCAAACACATTCAATTCCCATTATCCAAAAGAGTCAGCTTCAGTCATGAGCAAATTAAATATTTTGATAATATTAATTTAGTGGAGGTTTTTCACTGCCAGGTTCTTCTAAAACCTCCACATCTCTTCCCTGTTCTCCTGTGAAGCAAGGAACAAACACGTTTCAGTTGTAGCTATAGGACAGTCATTTTTAGCAATGCGAAGTAAATGCTAAGGAAGCAGAGAGAGTTTACTCTTTAGAGTTTTTAGGGAAATTGGAAATCCCAAAGCACGAACTGTCCTGACACCTTTTTAAAGGTGTGTTGTACATTAGCTGGTTTTTGTTATTTTGGTAGGGTGCATGTTTTTTCCGTCACCTTTTTCAGGGTTGGTTTGTTGGCTGGGAGAGATCACCTGCTGCAAGCTGGTCTCTGCTCTACCCATATCTAGCCCATTGCTTTGTTTGGGTGCCTTTGGGAATGCACAGCTTGGGAAACCATAGCAGCAATTATCTAGGTGTCAGGTTTGATGCTCCCGTGGAAGCCTACCATGGTGTGTTTTTTCCTCGTCTTCACCTTTGGTCAGTGATGTTTCAGATGTTCCTTAGCAGAAAAAATGACTGCTCGACTGGGTGGAATAACAAAACCACCCTGCTCAGCTCTAGGTGAAAACACAAACCAGGACACTCCTGTGGACACAGAGGATATAAGGTAGAGCCAGTCAGTAGAAGGAGGCACCAAAATATTTTTACAGCATGGAGGAATAATACTGACATAATTACAAGAGTGGCCAGCAAAGATCAAGCATCCAAATGTATGCAAATATTTTAAAGTGCAGAACCCTTTGTGGAGAGACAGAAGGGATACAGTGGAAACAAATATTGTGTGTGTGTGTGTGTATGTCTTGGTTGCAGTTAAGAAAGCTGTGGTTTTCAGAGGATTTTATTTGAATTTAAAAAATACAATTGTTCACCTTTCTTGCTTCTGAGCAATGTGCTTTCATCACTTTTATTTTGTACATAAGCTCGTTTTCTATTTCGTTTTGCAGCATATTTTTATTTTTCCCAATCATGAGGCTTGGATCTACACCCTTGCATGCTGTTTTTTTCATTATGTAAATAACAGAAGGAAGGGTGAAAAGGCTTTATGTCTGAGTCAGTCTCTTTCCATAATGGGAGAGATTAACTCTCCCTACAAGCCTTTGATCATGCCCTTAGATCGGCACAGCTACAACTACTGTTTCAAAACAAAGACTGGGATGGGTGAAGAGCCAGGTGTACTAGCTAGAGAAAGAAAGCAAGTTCCCTGGCCCCATAACACCATGCGATGCTACTTCGTGCAAACCTGCTGGATGTGTTCCTTTATAGGATCCCATTTCTTGGTCCTTTAATAGTGAGCAACAAGAATAAGACTGTCCAAGGTGAGTCCTCTTCTGCTGGCTAGATGTACAGAAATGGAAGAGGAGCTCCTGCATGCACTGGCTATATCGCTGGTGAGGACAACAGTGACGTCTGACAGCTGCAGCGTTTGGAGGGGACAGGAGAAGAAGGCAGCACTGTGCCAAGTTTCTGCATTTTGTTGCTGCTGGAAAAAGCCGAATATGCTCTAAAATTAAAAAAAATAAAAATAAAAATAAAGTAGCAGTGGTGGTCAGCTTCTCTTTAAGCTTGACTGACTTTGAGCAGGAGCTGGGCGTGGAGGGCTGGAGGACACCCTGGTGCTTCTGGCACTTTCACAGCCCACGTGCATGGAGGGGAGCGAGGAGAAGGAGACCTTGGGAACCAAGTGGAAGAGGAAAGCAAGTAGAGGGACTGGTGATGGAGACAAAATAAGGGAGAGAGTGAAAAGAGTTGTGAGGGCAAAGCATAAAAATAGTTCGGGCAGAGGCAACAAACCAGGGGTGATTAATGGCTGTGGATAAAGGAAAGAGGAGAGGTAGATCACGGAGACTGTGACCATTTGCTTCTTCCTTCCTTCAGAAGCTGTTAAGCCCAAAGATTCAGTCTTGGCATCCTTCTCCTGTGAAATCCACCTCTAAAGTGTGTGCCTTGACTCTCTGTGCTGCCCAGCTTGCTTGCTCTCTGCTGAGATTTCCTCTATGGCTTCAGCTAGATAGCAGCAGATAGCAGTAATGTGTGTGTAGCAATCTGAAACGTGATGGCCCAGATACAGTACCACACGATGGCATTTGAGGTATTCTTTGGTGTTTTTTCTTCTTTTTTTTTTTAATGTTGGTAACGTTAGAGAAATGTAAATGTTGACAAGTAATGCTCTGAGAGATGCAAAAAGTCAGGTTGCCTGGGGAACCCTTGCTTGGCCTCCTGGTGTGAAGGCATGATTGTAGAGCCTTTAATAGCATGATTACAACCTATTTTTTCCACAGGGCATAGGATGGACGAATCAGTGCATAGCATGGACGATGCTGTGGAAATGAAGCTCTTGTCTGTTCCTCATTTCTTGCAGAATTTGGAAGGTGTGTAGTGAATGAGGCAAGGGGCTGCAGAAAGAAAGAGCAGAGTCTTGGGGAAATGGAGCTGAATACCTCCTGAAGAGTTGTACCCTGTGTCCACCAGGGATGTTTTTGTACAATGACAGAAAATTCCCTGTAATCAGTCTCTTCCAGTGTTGTCACCAATCATGGCTTCTTCAGTGCCTGTCTCTAGCATGTAATTCTGGGCCTTGCTTTGCAGAAAAGTGGAGCTTTTATATCAACACCTACAGTGAGTGTTACATGCAGAGGATTCTGGGCAACCCAAAGCTCACATTCCTCAGGCTATGCTCCTAAAATCACTGCATGGTTTTTCTCATTCTGGACACAGTTCCTCTCCGCTTTATCTCCCTGCCTTGCAAAGTAGGAATAATCTTCGAGGAAAGCAGCGGAGATGATTTCAGTGATATTTATGAAGCACGTGAATACTCTGACAGCACTGTAGGAACGTCTCTGAGGAAACCGATGATTTTTGCATTCACTGTGTGGTTTGGATAATAAGGCAGAGGGGCACGTGTTGAACGAGAACGGTAGAGACATCATTAATAGCTGCCCGTTTGCTGACTGCAGCAAGCGTTCTGGGAGGGAAAACTTACGTGATCATCTAATGAAGTGCTATGTTATAATGTATGTGAGCGACTGGAGATTGCAGTGGCAACCTTATGACTGGATTTTTCCCATCTGTTTTTGAGTGTAATTAGAAATACAGGATTGAAACAAATGGTTGCAATCAGTCCTTTGAGATTGTGTTCACTGAGTTACCTGGTTGTTCTGATGAAATGACCTCCATCTTACATGTTGTTAGCATTTTTGTCCTATGTTTTTGTTGGAAAGCCATTCCCTAATCCAAATCACTCTTGTGCTAGGGTACCTTTTAGCATTCAGTTCAAATGTACTGTAGCTGTCCAGGTTCTCTGTCTTTTTTCCCTTCCCACTTGCTCCTGTTCTGCAACTGTCTTTGTATTAATTCTCTTTTCCCATACTGCGTTAGCAGGCCCTGTTCCTTCACTGTGCTAAAGTTCTCCATTTCCTCTAGTTTGATACCTTTAGTTTCTCAAAGAGTGATGAGCAGAATTGTAAAAAAAATCCCTTCCGTTTCATTGTCTGAATTGAAAATACTTCATGAACACAACAGACTGGTGCCTTGTAGTTGTTGGTGATCAAGTAGCACATGGCCAGCTGCACCCCAATTTTTGTTAAAAGCTTTTCTTCCAGCAGAAGCATTTCTCTTGATTTGCTGAGTTGTATTTCGCATTTTCAACTTGCATTTGCCACATATGATCTCAGGCTCATCCAGTTCTCTCTGTTGTCCCATTTCCATGCTGTCCTGCTGGTCGTGCCTCAGTGTCACTAGCAAACTTCCCTGACACATTCCTGAGCTTTGTGCCAAACTCCCTAGTGAGGTTATTAAACCAGATTTATTTATTTTTTGAGAACAAGACAAGTCACCCTACCAGAACCTCCTGCCATCCTGCTGTGATTTCCATTCTGCCGCCTCTTACTGCCGTCTGCCCATCAGTCAGCTCTTCAGCCACCAACAATTTCTGTATGTGAGCTGATAGCCTTCAATTTTCCTTCAACATTAAGCTTTTTAAAAATATATATAATAAATAAATATATATATACAAGGCTATTAGCCCTTTGATGATGCAACTGAGCACAAAGGGAATTCACAAAGACAGAAATCCTGGAAGTTATCAATAGAGCTGTGCATCAGTAGCTCAGCGTGCCTGTGAGCAGGTTGCTTCAGCTCTGCATTTCAGCCCTGTCCGTCTCCTGCTGCAGAGCTGTTGTGCTCCGGGGCTTGACAGTGCCTCTTTTCATGTTCAAAGAGCTACTGGAAGTAATGCTCAGCAGCCAGAAAAATCCAGCAGAAGTCCATCACCGCGGGACACTTGTCACTTTGGACATCCTTTTTCGGAGGGTTGTTTCGAGCTTTGTCTGTTTTGCCAAGTGATGCAGGGATGGGTAGCTTCATCTGAAGCCTTGAGATACTTTATGATTTTGAAAGCCGTGGTTCTGAAATGCAGACTGGATCCCACGAGAATCCAGCAGCGTTGGGAGCTGGAAGCTGATGGGGTTTCCCTCCCAGTGAGACATTCACAATGTCCCGGAGAATAGCTTTAATTTCCACTGAGACATGAAGAGTTTGCTTGTTGACAGTTCTCCTACTGAGTCCCTGAATAGGAAGCCTAGAGTGTGTGTGGGCTCTGGAGTATGGGAAAACTCGTAACGGGCCTCTGAGAACATGGGTAAAAATGTTTTTTTTATTTTCCACACTCACCCTTCTGGTAAATCGGTCAGAACCAAAATGTTTAATGCAAATTCCCTCCAAACTGGTGACTTCAGTGCAAATTCAAATAGGTTCAGGGGGGAATTTTCCTGGTGTTATTCCAGTAACTGACAGAGTTTGCTGCCACGTGATTTTCTGATGGGCATCGGCTTGACTTCTCTTTTAAGATCTTCACATTGACCTGTGGCATTCAGACAGCTGAGGAACTGCCGAGGCTTGGCTGCTGCTCTCTAGACGGCCCCTTGCAGTCAGGCAGCGCAGGTCCTGCTACAAAAAGCCAGCTACCCCAAAGACAGCAGGCAGCTGAAACAAGAGCCAGGGCTGTAGCTGATGAGGTGGTGTTTTTCTTCCCACGTCACATACCTTATTTGCTGCCATCTGAATATTTTGATTACTGTAAATGATTGACTGAAAGTGATTGATTTTGGTGTGGGTTTGTTTGTTTGTTTTCAGAGCATCTGACTGCTGTGTATATAGAAATAAAGGATGGAGAAGGTCATCAGGGAGATTTAGGAATTTGGAGAGTTAGGGAGTGCTTCATCTGAAGCAAGTGACTTATGCTTGGATTTGGAGTTTTTAACAAATTAAAGGGGGGGGGAAAGATAACTGGTAGAGCCAAAAGGCTCTCAGTAAAGGCAGGTGCTATTTCCATTCTTTGGTGTAAAGTTGGAAGCTGTATAATATATATGCTTTATATACATATTATACATAGAAAACATATATATATACATATATAAATAAATAAAATAAAATCCTTGTAATGCAACTACATCTGGAATCTCTTGGGACACTTCATATCATAATACTATGTACTCGTAGAGTGTAACCCCTGACATGGTGGAGGCAAGGGTTCACTGCTGCCTGAGGAGGGGTAGATAAGGGGTACAATTCCCTCCTGTAGGATCCTGCTGAACCAGGGGACGTGTCTGCTGGTTCGAGTTATACACGGGCTATCTGTTGTGTAAGGGTAGAACAGCAGCTGGTGAAAAACAGTAACAGGAATTAGTTTGGAAGGACTGATTTATAAAAAGTGTTTAAAGGGGGCTTAAGTGCACGTGAGAAGGATATGTGATGGTAAATATAGGATATAGGGATTGTAGCAACTGCTAATGTGTGAACAAAGCAGGACTGGAGGGTAAAGTAGTATTTGTCTCCTAAAGGAAGGGTAGCTAATTAAAGTGTTGCTTCTCTTAATTTCATTTAACTAAGTTGTGGCTCAAAAAAGCACACTGACAATAAAATCCACTTCTTCCTCTTCTAAATAAGTAAATAAAAATGACTCTGAGAAATGAGGAAAACTCATGACTGATAAAACTCATGACTCTAATAAAAATGACTCTGAGAAACACCCAAAATGAGAAAGTTCTAAGAACATGGCATCAGCTGAAGCCTTCTGGTGAGATGTTTTACTTCAGAAGTCCAGAGCTGGTCATATTTAAACAGTTTGAGAGCGAACCCTTATGTCCATATGAAGCCTGTCAAATGTGTTGTTTGGGCAGTGGTTTTCATTGTTTCCCTTGAGCTGAATTAATAAGCAGTCATTCTCTGGAAAGCTTTTCAAAACTTTGTGCTTTTCCTACTGCTTTGTGTGACTTTTTCACTGCAGAAGGCTTGGCTGGGGCTCAATTATAGACTTTACAACTCTGTTTTATCTGTCTGCTGTTGTTTTTCTGAATTAGTTTGTTCCCACTTAATCCTTTCCAAAATCTTGCTACAAAAATCATTTTGACCTTGCTCTTTGAGATTAGGTACCATCATTTTTATTACTTTTTTTTTTTTCTTTAATATAGCCACGATCCGTTGCTGAGCCTGCTGAGTGCTCCTGTAGTGCAAACATTAATTTGACCAATTTCCTCTTTTGCTGCGGCTCTGCTTTTATGATTTTGTGGGCCTCACGCTGCACGGATGCTGGGGAGAAGGGATATTACTAGGTAGCAAGCAGACTAGTCGGGTAATACGCTGCTTAAGTACAATCATTAATGTAAAATACCCTTCATTCCTTTTCTCAAAAACATTCCCTGTAGTTACTTCAGATAGGCGACCAGGAGTGACCTGTGAGCAGCGAATAGAACAAGTGTTCTCATCTAAATAGTATTTCTTTGGTTTATTATTTTTATGATACTGCTTTCCAATAACAGCAAGTATGTTTTTTTGTTTTGTTTGTAAATCAGGGCTGATTTATCTCATTTTCCCCCAGTGGCTTGCTTTTATTTGCCTTTTTTTCCCCCGTCTCGCGTCTGTTAAAGGGATCACTGATGCTTGGAGTACAGCAGAGGCCAGGGCAGGGAACTGAGGACACTGGGCTAATTGCTGGCACACAGAGGAAACGGATGCAGGGTGCAAAACAGAGCCCTGCTGCCACCTCGGAACAGTCCAGAAAGCAGCAGTATAAGCCTTTGCCCTAAAAACATCCCTAGTTTGCATTCCTGGAAGGCATCGGTTTTGTGATGCTGCTTTATAGCTCCAGCTTCTTCCTCTTGCAGCAGGCTTCGTGCCCCTATGGCTGTCCCACCGATCCCACAGCTTGGGAGCAGTGGTTCAGTCAGCGTGCCCTCACACTCAGCCTCTAAGCTGGTGATATTTGGGAAGCAGGCTCTAGCCTCCTTGTTTAAATCCAGGTTTCAGAAAAAAAAACTCCTCAGATGATTCCCACACAAACTGGGTTTGACTTCCAGTCCTTTCCAGTGGCTTTTCAGATGAGTATTGCAGAAACGTGATGGAAGTCAGCAGAGCCCTGAAGCTCTTCAGGATGTTTTGCATCATGCTTGCTGGGACTAAATTCCCCACTGCCTCCTTCTTACATCAGTGTTTTGGCTTGGAGGAAGGTGTGATATCTGAGGGAACTCCTGGGCAGCTCTTGAGCCCCGAGGAGGTGGTAGCTGCAAGAAGCCTGGAAGAAGAGGGAAACCTGGAGTGGACTTCAGGCAGGTTGTTTAGCTTCCTTAATAGCTCATGTTAGTGTAATCAGAAGTGTCCTGCTCTCCACAACATCCCTGAGAATATCTGTAGTTCATAGGCTAAGCTGCTCCTTCTCTTTGTCCCCTCCAAAAGACTAATTTCAGCTTATTTTGTTTCAGAGCTGGAAAAGGAGATCGCCAGGAGACCGAAGAAAGTCTGCATTGTCAAGGTGGTGGGGACCAGGAACCTGTGGAAAAACATTGTGGTACTGTGTGTGAACTCGTAAGTGTCTGGGGGGGTTCTGAACCGAGAGCAGCAATGGGAAGTGATGGGGGCCACCTCTTTTTCCCAATATGGGACCCTTAAAACTATAAACTTTCCAGGGTCTCTGATAAATGGAGGAAATTGTGGCTGTTTCAGGCAGTAGCACCGTGTCTTTCCAAGCATTGGGCTTTGTCCTGAAGCAATGTTTTTGTCTTAGGCTGTTTTAATAGCCAGCATTAACTCTGTTTGTGAAATATGGGGGAATTCTCCCCTTCTCCCTCACCCTTTCTAATAATGCCTGTTTGGAAATTCCCTAACCCAGCACTAGGCAGCCCACGGAGTGACTTCTGGCAATAGCATGTGGAGGCTGTTTGCCATCCAAACAGTGTGAAGCAGATATGTGTTGAAGAAAATAGCTTTCAGTGTTGTCTTTATGGGGTAGAGAAAAAAAAAAAAAAAAAAGACTATTTAATTTTGTTGTTCCTCTAGCCTGGAGCTGTGCTGAATTTTTGCAGTGTGGAGCACGGAGAAGGAACTTTTCACAGGGAGTGATGAGACATCGAGGGAGATAAATGTATTTAGTTTTAAAAGCAAATGTTCTGACCTGCTAGGAAAACCAAGATAATTGACTGGTTCAAGGGCAAGCAGGCAGGCGAGCAAGCACAGATGATACATTAATTTGGCTTGTTGGTCGTGGCCTAAATAACTTCAGCAAGGCTGTTTTCATGTACAAAAGAGAAGATGCACTCCGGTCACTCAGTCCTCCTCTCACTTGGAGGAGGAGTCAGTTATAAGCCAGGTATCCAAAGCAAATGACATTTTTGTGTAACAGCAAGTACTTGTGCTATTGCTTTTTTTTTTTCTTCTATTTTTTTTAGGGGGAAGTGTTTGATATTGGTGGGGGTATTCTAGAACTATGGCATTGATTCACAAGATTGCCAGAGAAATTCCCCAGCACTGTGCTGCCATACATACACTCAGTGGCTGTGTATTTCCCAATTGTTTCTGTGCTTACGTTAATACCCAGCTTAAACTGCCAAGTGCTTCAAATTCCTGATGGTCAGGAGGATAGAGATGTATTGATGTAATGCACCTGCCGTGCATTTTTGGGGACCTGGGTCTACAGCTGCAGCTTTGTGAGGTACAGTTAGTTTGATGTGAGCTTGTAGCAGGTTTGTACGGTCTAAATGTTAGGCATCATGAAGAAACTTTTAAAAGAAGGGGAGGCATTGGTCTGTAGGGAGGCATAAATATGTAGATTGAATTAGGGTTTCTTGTTTTGTAATAGTACTAATCGTTGCAGCATGACATGTGTCTTCAAATACACATTTCTAAGGGGTTTTCAGTTTTAACAGGCTAATTTGGGCAGTGAGATTCAATTCTCAGTATGACCAAATGCCATGGTCAGGAGGGTCTTCCTGGAAGAGATATTAGCATTGTGCTGTGTGTTGCTGTCTGAGCTCACAGGTTGGTTATTGCCATCAGTGGATGTATTGGGAACAGCACAATGCCCTTGTTGAGAAAGAGGAGCTCCAAAATATGTTGGGAAAACCAGTCTCACACTGAGAGTCCTTATAAAACTGCTCATATACTGAGCAAAGGCTGTGCAAATGAAGTCAGTAGACTGCAAATCTCTGGTTGAATAGGGCTTTTCTTATTATTATTATTATTCATTGCTTATTTTTTACAGTAGCACCTGGAAGTCTAATTTGAGATGAGTGTCTTTTTGCACCAGGCGTTGTATTCCTACAGCAGAAATGCTTCCCACATTTACGTGTTTCTACCTTGAACTACGTCGCAGTATGTGTCAACCTTTTCAGCAGTTTCCTCTTGCCCTTTCCTCTTTCCCTAGGCTGACTGGTTACGGCATACACCACTGTTTTGCAAAAAGCATGATGGGGCACGAGGCGAAGATGACGATCACCCACAACTTCTATGCGGACTACTATACCATGGCGGGGATCGCCTTGGCATCCTGCCTGGCCATGTGCCCAGTGGTTGGGTTTTTGGGGAGGAGAGGAGGACTCCTGCTCTTCATGATCCTGACAGCTCTGGCATCGCTTCTGCAGCTGGGCCTTCTCAACTGTAAGTTGGAGACAGGAGCTCTTCAGGACCACACAAGGCTCTTGAGTTTGAGTGCAGAGATAAAATGATCACAAAAGTCCGTGGTAGAGTAGCTGCCTGGGAACGAGATTGGTTTGTGTACCACATGATCCTGTAGAAGATGACAGCAGAAATGCCAGTCACAGCATATTTTGTCCCCCCTTTATCAGTTATAGAACATCATTAGGTGCCCCTACAGAAATCCTTTGAAATCCTTCCTTGCAGGAGGAAAGGTACAGAGGTTTATGCTCTCTCAGAGTGAATGATTCACTATCAAAAGAGAATCAAGTTTTGGATGAAAATTTGTTGCCATCCACCCGCCTTTTTTTTTCTTACGGGAGGCAAGAATAGATTTTAACACGAGAATTCACGGAAAATGTTCATGGAAATTCATGGAAAATGTTGTGCAGCTTCAGTTGGTTGCAGGGGTCACAAAGAAAACTGAAGACAAGGGACCAAGGAATATTATTCCTTTCCCTTTCTCAGATTTGACATCCAGTACAAGTACACCTGCATAGTTTAAGCAGCTGAATTCATTTGAAGGGTTCCCCAAACACTTGTTGCCTTAGATTCATTAAGAAGAATCATCGTGTTCTGGATGAGTCCCAGTGGCGGAGCTTGCTGAGTGTTGGTGCTGCTTCTAGTTCTGTCATGTAAAAACAAACAAAATACTCTTCCTTCAGTGAAATACCCTCTGGGGAAAGAGCTGAGGGGTTGGGAAGGAAAAACCTTCCCATTTGAGTCTGCTTCCCAAATAGCCTCTAAAACAAGCAGAAGTTAAAGCAATGGGTATGTGTCCTCTGCTTGCTCTGAGCATCTCACTACTTAGAATAAATATGTAGGTAGCATGTATGTAAGGTCCATGTTCATGTATAGATGCGATTTCATGAAGTAACAGCTTCTCAGAGAGGTTGTTCCTGCCAAAAGCAAGAGTGTCCCACCCCCTCCTTCAGGGGTTGTGGCATTTCTCTGGCACGTGGAGCTGCTTCAGCTATTAAAACTGTTACAGAAAAGTTCCCTTTCCTTTTTTTTTTTTTTTTTTTTAAATCATATTTCCAAGAGTTAACTTAAGCTGGAGCAAATGGGGTGTGACGGGTCGGAGAGGCGTGGAAGCAGAGGGAAGGTGAGATGTGCCTGCCACACTTGTAGCTGACTGCCAGTGGATCCCTGTCCTGTGAAACCTCACCCCAAGGAAGGGGAAGGGGATTGAGAGACGTGCTCCTGGACAAACTGGATACGAGACAAACACCAGAACACTGGTTGTTGCTGTTTTCCATTTCTAAGTTTAGAAATGATTTCAGAGCTTTAATGAGAGAGGCCTTTTGCATTGAGGATGGAAAAAATTTTACATTCCCGCATGCTGCAGGGTAGCCCTGAGCCAGCAAATGTTGCCTATATTTACAGACCATGTTTCCTGAACGTGTTTACGAAGTTAACCTTTAGTGTATGCACTATTTGTGGAAGTGGGAGGGGGGAACAGGGAATCTCTTTCAGGACGCTGAAGAAGCTCCAGAGTTGCATGCGTTTGCTCCCAGCTTGGCACAGATGTTCACATTTCCTTTGAGCACATTTACCATGTCCAACAGTGCCAGCTGAGAGGAGAGAAGCCCCAAGTCCCCATCTCATGCCCAGCCCTTTGAAAAGCTGTGACAATTCACATAGAGGTGCACGCTGTGTGTGCATGTTGTCCCAAAACTCCAGGTTCTGGTGGTGGTGTCCATCAGGGTCACAATAACAAAGTCATCTTGTTTTTTTGAGTACACCAGAGCCAATAAAATTCATTTTCAGTGCTTCAACAACAAAATGGTGAGGAGGAGCAGCCTGTAAGAAAAGCTACAACATTTTCCTAGATGGGTGTAGGTGGTTTTGTGAGCAAAGGTGCTCAAGCTGGAGACAGCCATGGGCCCTAGGTGTTTTCTGCTACCTTGGCACGGGGCATCTCCAAATGCCCTGTTCCTGTGGGCTGTCCCTGCTCTCCTTCCCCTATTTCTTTGTGAAAAGAGGAGGGAAAGGCAGCCTTTAGATTCAGAGCAGCTTGTCTCCTCCTACTCTAGACCATACCCCCCTTCTTCCCCAAAAGAGCTAGACAATGTTTGGAGAGAAGCAGTGACCCTGCTGAGCGTGAAGTCTGTTACAGCCTCGTACGTGTTTCACTTTTGCTAATTACACCCAAATTATGCTAATGAAATCAGAATTGGAGAAGGAGGGGGGAGAGAGAGAGAGAAAAGTGCTCCAGCACGGAGCAGCGGAGGTCTCCCACCACGATGCTGATGCCGGGAGTTTTGCTCTCAGACCACAGCCTCTGTTGGCCATCCCCTCGGGGCTGCTGGACGAGGGCAGTTTCTCTTCTCCCCCTTCATTAACAACAAAGAGGCCTTTGTGTTAAGCCCAGCGGTAATTCTGGGTCCCTTAAAAACGCCGTGCCTCTGCGTTTATTATCACCGTCTCATTAGCATTCAGTCCTCTGGCTGCAAACAGCACGTTGCATCGGGCCGGTCATGTCACAGCAAGGAGTGCGTGGGAGCTGGGGGAGGCATGCGGGGAGTACCTTTTCCTTTTTCCTTTGCGTAAATAACGACTGTGTGTTCTTGTTTTCTCTCCCTTTCTCTCTTATTTTTGTCTTACTCTAACTTCCGTGGTCTTGGATGCAGTGATTGGAAAATACAGTCAGCTTCCAGACTCAGGTATGGTTTGCAAACGCGGGTAGATCCGAAACCGTGGCCAAAGGCCCCAGAGTGTGGCTGCTTCCACAGAGGGATGCAGGGGGAAAGCTCACCTCAGGACCCCACTCATATGGAGGTGCATTTGTGTATGCACAAGTCTCTCAGGTGCAGCATCCTCTCCACACAGCATGAACCTGGTTGTGTCAGCATGTGAGGAGAGGGTGCAGAGTCCCCAGGGGTGGTTATTAGATGTGGGGCAGTGCTTTCTCAGAAAGCCCACGTCTCAAACCGAGCTGTTGGGTGAAGGCTGCCAAGCTTGCAGCTGAGTTTGCAGACCCACCATTTGCAGGAAGTTATCAGGGAGATGGGAGCGCTTCTGTTTCTCTCCCTGCTTGTCCCGTGAGCCTCTCCAGTGCCCAAGCCACCGAGCTGTACCAGACGTTTGGCAACTCAATGAACGCCGCCTGCCTCCGCTTGTCTGTCAAATGTGGGAGGGAAGTGTCTGGTGCCTAAAAGGCTGCCCAAGGATGTGCAGTTTCTTTTTTTTTTTTTTTTTCCTTGTGTTTTACCTTTTTTGTGGTGGCTGGGTATAAGTAATTCAGAGATCGCTGCTGTTTTGGGGCATGACATTATGATTTTTTTCATGTATGTTTGTGTCTTGGGTGCTTGGGAAAAAATTTTATAAATACCAGTTTTAAATTAGTGTTACAAAAGTGACTCAATTTTTCTTGTTTAGGTAGAATGAGTAACATAGACCTGTTTTCTTCTTTTCTTTCTTGGCAATTTCTCCTTGTTCTCACTTTTCATGCACATGTTTGTCTTGACAGGTATGAGTGACAGTGTCAAAGACAAATTCTCTACTGCGTTTTCCATTGTGGGTATGTTTTCTTCGCATGCCGTTGGAAGTCTCAGCGTATTCTTCTGTGCTGAAATCACACCGACAGTAATAAGGTGAGACATCAGAATCCCCCCCGTAAAGGGCAGATAATAAATTGAACTCATTTTCTTAGTATCTGGCTGTGTAACTTACATTGTGTGGGGTGGGGTGGGGGATCTCCCATAATTAGAGACCACACGGCAATTTCTGGGCCACTTCTTAACCTGGTGTCACCGCAGGCAGGCTGCATAAGTAAGTGCCTAGCTGAGGACAGAGGGGCTTTGTTTCAGACGGATCCACTTCGAAAATCACCATTATGGTGATTTTCGGCAGGCCAGTCATCGTGAATTGCATTTGTTTGCAGTGAAGTACGGCCTAAAGTACTCGTCTGAACCAGATCATGTAGTTGAACCATTTTGTTAATTTGCTTGCCCTGTTGGATTTGTACAAGCAGTACCCATGTGAGCTTACAGCTTGGCATTAGCAGATACATTAACATCAGTGTGCAGAGAAGGACGTGGCTGCAATCTGCTCCCTGCCTCCACAGGGTAAGCTAATGCAGCTACAGTGGACAGGAGGTGTTGCAACGTGCAGTCTTAAATGCTGCTGGTGTGTATAGGTGCTCTGAGGACCTGCTGTCACATCTCTTACAGCACCAGTGTGTTTTGCCTTTACTACAGACTTGTACTCTGGCTCTTTGTCATTTTTCTCTTCGCACCCAGAGGCTCGAAGTTTTTGTAAAGAGCAGCGCTTACACGCTGGGCAACAGCAGAAGCCAGGCGGATGATCTTCTCTGGAGAGCTTTCCATAAACTGTCTTGGTGTTGTCTGGTTTTTGTACCATTTTATTTATTCGCTGTTATCTTTCACAGCACAAAGGCTGTGCTTGTGTGTTCTGGATTATGCTTTCAGCAATGCCACAGTGATTCAGGAGTCCACCCTAACTCCCATTGAATTTCGTAGGAATGTAGGTCGTAGGGGTGGGAGGGAAGAGACAGCGGAGGGAAGAGGATATTTTTTGCTCCCCCCCCCTCTGCCCCCAATTACATGTTTTTTTAATAACTTTTCAAAGCTATTACAGCAGAACTGTCAGATGAGCAGCCAGCCTCCTTGATCTATGGCCTTTTCTTCAAAGCTATCTGACTTTGTGAATGTTTTACAGATAACATTATTTCTACAGGGAAGGGAAAGTGTGAGTGGTGTGGAGATTGCACAGCAGCCCAAAACACTAACAGCTATTTACTTACATGCGTGTCAGTCAGTTTGGTCTTTTTATGCCTCTTTAATTTTCTGCTTGTCTCTGGAAGGCGTAGAGATAAGGAATTGGCCGAGTCAACCAAAAGAGAATCTGCCAAGCAGGGTTAGATGTGCAGTGTGAACTTAGCAGGCTTTTTCCTTAAATCACTAATGTTGTCACAGGGAAGGGGACAAAATCCTGGCTGGGAACTGAAGTTCTGCTTCCCCCGAGTCTGCTGGGTGACACCAGGCGAGTGACAATAGCTGGATGTGCCTCAGGGTCCCCATGTATAAATAGGGATGATGACACTCTGCAGCGTTTTGTGGTCTGTCCTGCCACTGCAAAACCTCTTGGTAACATCTCCTCAGGGCTGTAATTAGGAGGTGGCTCTCAGGACAGTTCATAAACACGTCTCGGGCTGAGGTGTGGCTAAGCTGCCTGTGTCTCTCGTTTCAGTGGTCCGTGGCCATTCCCTCATCACCTTTTTTCCAAAATACCACCTCTGGTGCCCCTTGGTGTTTCAGACTGCTCTACTGTGCTTTTGGCTGGATCTTGAGGAGCCAAAGGGGAAAGACAGGTAGAGAGAACTGGGGCTGCCTCTGAGGTTTCCCTGACCAGGGTCTTCCAAACATCGAATTTGAGCTCCAAATGGCTCTAGTAATCCATCTCTAATAATCTTGATGAAAACAACAGTGAGGGTTGCACAGCTGCTACGCAGGAACAGGCTGAGGAGAGCGTGGTGTCCTCCCTGTCCTCTGCGTGCTGGGTTACTGACAAGTGGAAAAGAGATCTGGTCCACAAGTTCCTACAGGAAAAGGCAGGGAAAAAAACCTAGGGAGGATTCAGGGACTGACTTTAAGAAGTGGCTGAACTGAGAGGACAAAGCAGCTGGGCCTGAGGTCAGCATGGGCCCTGTTCTGTGCAGGAGGATGGATCAGAGAGGATGTCATTATTGAGAAAGACACTGCAGCAGTCGGCAAGAGGAAGCCCTCCCTGGCGCTCAGGGTGGCCTTTCTGAGGGCAGCATTTTGGACTCGGGCCCCGTCAGGACAGAGCATCGGCTGCCGAGCTGCCCGGTCGCTGCTGCGAAGGCAGCGTGAGCTCCATCTGCTCCCTAGTGGCAGCACTGCTTCCCTCTCCTGGCTGTTTCCAGCTTCTTTTATCCCCTAGTACTCACAGTACAGTCAAATACAGGAGGCACACCACCATGTACTTTCAGTCCTTCTCCTGCCAGGTTCCGAGGGCAGTGGCTAAAGTAACGCCTGCTCTAATTACTGACACGAGGTGGAAAAACTCTTTTTCCCCCTCCAAACGTGAAGCTGATTGCCCCGTAATAACAGAGCCGCCTTTGTTGCTGCCTTTTCCCTGCTTCCTTCCAGTTTCTTTGATGTCCTTCCACAGCTGCTTTCAGAACTCACCTCGGGTCCCCCTTGGTTGTGGAGATGCAATTTAGCCATAGCAAGCACCGATGTGAATGAGCCAGTCTCCTGCGCTTCAGGGCCGAGTCCTGCTGATCGCTCGTGTGAGCATATTAATGAAGCTGCAAGGAGGCCAGTCACACAAGGGCTGCATTCAGCTGCCTTTCCAAATTGCCATCGGAAAGCTGGCGAGGATTTAATGAGGGCGTTGGCAATGTTGGGGGGAAATCGCTGTTATCTGCGAGAGGTGCTTTACCGAGTCCAGGACAGCCCCGTGTGCTCAGGGCTTGGAAAGGCATCAGAGAAGGGAAGGCACTGCGTGTGAGGGGGGCTGCTTGTGTAACCCACTGCCAGGAAAGAGCACTGGATCCAGCCTGTGCAAGCCTTTCCATTCCTGCGATGGGGTGGGGGAAGAGGTTACTCTCACACTTGTTTTTTTTTCTTTAAGCTTTAATGTGTTTTCACGCTTTTTTTGGTGTGCTTATATGTGTGATGTCAATATACTGGCATGTTACATTTCATGAACAAGCATTTATGCCATAAAGAATATTTTTATAAAGCTCCCTGTTTACAACTTAAGCATTTTACCAGAGTTAACCTTTTTGTTGCCCCTTGATGCGGTATGCAAATACACAAGGAAAGCAAGAGCAAAGTGTGGGACTTGCCTCAGCTCCTACAGTGAGTCAAGGGGAGGTCTCAGAAGTGAGTCTCAAACCCTTGACTTGTTCTCCTATTCTAACCACTAGCTACGTTATCTTTTTATTTTTTTTTAATTTTTTTTATTTTTTCTGAAAATGGTGTGTGCTGGTACAACATCAGTGGGTTGAGAGGTTCCAGCTTCAACATGTCTTACAGGGAAAATGTTTCAGCGCTCAGTGTTTGGTGTAACAGATCAAGGCAGTGGTCTGTGGAGTCAGATCTCCTGGCTCTGCTGGCAGTTGCTGCCAGGTATTTCAGAGGCAGCCAAAATTGACTCCTGCACTTACCGCTTCTTGGTGTGTCTCGTCTAAGCTGGATGCGAAGCAAAATCTGGTTTTCCCTTGCTGAATGTGAGAACACGTGGAAATGGGAATATTTTAGAGGGCTGTCTATGTACTCACACCTTACAGCTTCTCTTCTCCTTACGTGGGTGCAGTTACATGGGTGTGAAGAGATGCTTGGGTGAGCACAGCTATTTTCTACACACAGGCAGTAATTATCTACAACAGCAAAGCAACAGCAAAAACTCCCTCCTGGGGCAATTGCCCAGCATGAAAGCCGTGAGCAAAGCGGGTTTGCCTCAGAGATTTCGGAGCCCAGGTGCCAAAATCGCTTGCCGAACAGGATAGCCTGGGGTCCCAAGGCATTTTTGGGTGTTCTTCCAGCACTGGAGTTCTTCCAGGCTCTCACCTCCGTTGTGTTTGCAGGGGAGGCGGGCTGGGGCTGGTGCTGGCCAGCGCGGGCTTTGGCCGCCTGACCGCCCCCATCATGGAGCTGCACAACCAGAAAGGCTACTTCCTCCACCACGTCATCTTCGCCTGCTGTACGCTCATCTGCATCATCTGCATCCTGCTGCTGCCGGAGAGCAAGAACCAGAACCTGCCCGAGAACATCCCGGACGGGGAGCACTACACCCGGCAGCCCCTCCTGCCGCACAAGAAGGGGGAGCAGCCCCTGCTCCTGACAAACTCTGAACTCAAGGACTACTCGGGCCTCCACGACTCGGCAGCTGTGAGCGATGGCATCTCTGAGAACACCACTGCCAACGGGATGAAGCCTATGTAACTGTAACTGGGTTGGATTTTCTCCTTTTTTTTTTTTCTTTTTTTCTTTTTCCCCTTTTGTTTTGTTTTACCTTCTCCTCTTTTCTTTGGTATTTTGTTTGACGCTGTTGTGCAGGAAGAGCAGACCTTTGGGCAAAGGTGTTTTGCACAGGTTTTACAAACCGGTGACGGAGCAGACGCAAACTTGGGAGAATTCAACTCTGCTGCTAAAGCGACTTGGAGGAATTGTCAACCGTTGTGCAGATTGCTCTTGAAAAAATTATGGGGGAAAATAACTCATCTGAGAAAAGACCTGGCTGGAGGTAGCCCTTCAGAACTCTTTTTTTTTCCTGCCATTAAATACATATATTTATTTTGATTTGTTCTCAAGAAGCACTTTATTTCCTTTTCCTTTCATAGATCACAAAAACGAAGCCATCTTATTATAAGAGGTGCAGCCATTCCAAGAAAGAAACCGTTGGGGGGGGGGGAGTTGTTTTTTTTTTTTGTTTCCTTTTTGTGTTTCTTTAAAGGAAGGAGGTATCACTGCAAAGTTGAATTGACTGATATTTAGACTTGTGCAATGTTGTTCTGCCTGTCTAGAAAGTCCAAGCGCCCAGGTTGCCTGCTGTGTTTGTATACACCAAAAAAAAAAAAAAAAAGAATCAAAGCAAAACCTGTTGTGACTCAAACTCTGACTGCATTTTAGGCAGATTATGTTTCTTTTTATAGCTCATATACATTTAAAAGTTAATTTTTTTTTCCTCATCAAATGCAGTGAAGAAAATCCTACCCAAACAGGCTGATTTTTCAATGAGAATCAGCCTTATGCATTTTAAGATTCCATTAATACATTTTAGACTGTTCCTGCTGGTGTTTAATACTAATGTAGATGGTGTAAATGAAATGATTTGACCAATGATGCAAAAATTAATTTTGACGAGAGTGGCTTTAATTACCAGGAGGTCTAGAATCTGTGATTGACAGCTCCAGGAGAAGAGCATAAACCAGCAGGGACAAAAAGTAAAGAGCATTGGCTATGGTCTGTACTTCTTATTTCCGAAGGCAGCACAGCTAGGAGTCCCTCTCCTGGGAAATGAGCATCCTGGCATTGCCCTGCCTGTTTTTAGAACCAGAGTTTTTGTTACCTATTTAAGCGGACAAAATTTTTAAGTGACTGTCTAAAAGGAATGAATTGATAACCTGTGAGTAATGATTTAAGGTTTGTTGTTGGCCGTCTTGGGTCTTTTAGGGATGGTTTCTGGTTCTGACCCAAGAATACACGGTGAACTCACCTGTATTGCCCTCCTTCCCCAGCTGTTCTTGTAGGATTTTCTTTCAGTTAAAAAAAAAAAAAAAAAAGAAAGAAAAAAGTTAAATTGGATTGATCCCACTCTACGAGAAGCAAAACGAACATCCAATTTGTCGTGTTGTACAGATGGTACTTTGATAACGGCCACTTCTCTCCTCCAGTCCCCAAACCAGCTTTTTGCTTTGGCCATCGGCTTTCGGTTCTCACCGTGTGATGACTGTGAGGATCTTGTTCAATGCAAGGGCTTTGTAAACGAACAGCTTTCTTGCATTGTAGTTAACCTCCCTCCCCTCCCTCCCTCTTTTCCTTTTTCACTCAGGCCATCCATTTGTGATTGCTCAGTAGTGCGGACATTTGAACAAACCGAGCAGCAGGATGTCGATGTTGTATTGCGTGCCCATATGATTGCCACTATGTTTGATGTAAATCTTTCGTTCACAAGCATGGGAAGCGCTCATCTGCACTTTCCTCCTCTGCCTGCCCTGCCCCTTCCTCCTTTGCTGTATATATATATTGTCGACTAACTACTGTACCTAACAATTTCCATCCTCCGTTAGGCTGCCAATGTCCTCTTACAGTCCCCAGTAAATCAGAGAGATGCTCCTGGGCGGGTGCTGAGGTCCGTAGCACGTCTCAGACGGTGCCAAGCACAGGAGGACAGGTAGACCTGCAGAAGCGACAGAGACTGTCGTGGTCGGGATAGCGATGTTGTCCTAAAGCTGCTAATTTTTGTACAGAGGATGTGGACATTTGGGTTCTTCCCGAGCCCGGTAAGAAACACTGGACCAGTTGATGGTAATTTTGCCCAAAGTTACCCTACTGTTTTTTCACCTTTGCTAGGCTTGCTTGTTACACTTCGGTTTTATTGCCCAGCTTGAGAGCGGCCATTTCCCTCTTTCTGTTCTGTGCTGAGACTTCTGTGATCCGTGCTCACCCAAGAAAACAAAAAACAAACAAAAAAAACGAACAAGGCCTTTCAAGTCCACGCAGTATCCACGTGCCAAATCCGTGCAATACCTTTTGCCTTCAATGTCAGATGCTTGTGGCAAGCCACACACACTGGGGGGAAAAAAAAAGGAGGGTTCACAAGGAAAACGGGTGGAGCAGAACAGGTCTTAACGGAGGAGGAAAAGGTCTCTGTGCGTGTGCACTCAAGCTGCAGCACGGCTCTAGCAGCCCCCTCACAAGCCTACTGAACTGGCTGCTTCCAGCAGGGCTAGCGGTCCCGGTGTGCTGTTGTCCACAGCGCTTTATCGTTTCCTATTCTGGTGTTTGCTCTCCGACGACAGGCGGGCCCAGGGAAGAGAATGGTTGTTTAAACATATCAACGTTTATGTAATAAACACACTAGGTGACAGGAACACTTGGCTTTTTTTTTTTTTAATAATTTCTTATGAAATTGACTTGATTTGCTGCTTGTTTTTTGGTCTGAAACCAGGTACTGATCTCCTGCAATGTGGGGAGCTCCAACTTCTCGCACCGGTCTGGCCCTCCGCCTCTGTCATGACAATAAAACATAAAATCGGTAGCTTATCATGCTGAAACGTTGAATTAACTGTTTCCTTATGTTGTTTTTATTGTTTGTTTGTACACACACGCACAGCTGAAAAGCTTTGAAGTGTGGGAGAGCTCTCTGAGGAGGGGGCAGGCGCTCTGTGTGGCAGCAGGGCAGAAATGAAATGCCTGGCTGCTCACTGTGCTCTGCGGCGGGACAGTGCTCCGCACACCAGCCAGCCCATCAGCTCCTCCATCGGCTCTCCTCTGTAGCCATCGCTGGGAACTGCTTTCCTCCGACGGCCGTTCCTGGCCACCACAGCAGAGGAAGCCCTCAGAGCGGTCCTGTCCCTGTTGGTCTTTTTCTGTGAACCTTCAGTAACCTCTTAAGTCCATCTGTGGATTTTTTTTTCTCTCTTTTGGTTTGGCATTTAAGGGCTTTCTTCCTTACTTCAAACAAAAGTGTGAAAGTGACGTTATGCTTGATCTGGTTTTCTTTCCTTTTAAGATTTCCATAATGCTTTTGTTGCCAGACACACTACAAACAGATAACGACAGCGTGGGGAAAGCTGTCGTGCGTTTGGGGGTGTTTTGTGGCAACTCCAAAAGGGTTCTGTCTGATTTACCTTGCAGTTTTGGTGAGCCTGCTTTTTTGTGTGGTTTGTTTGTTTGTTTTTGTGTTTGTTTGTTTTTGTTTTGTTTTGTTTTTTTCATGGACGTATTTTGCTTAACTGTTGCCACTTCCTGGAGCCAAACACTAAAGGTCACCAAATTGGAAGCAGAAGTGCCATTAAACGAACTCTGTGAATGTCAAGTCAAGTTGCGCCTGTAGCTGGCACATAAGACAACGCTATTAAGTGTGGGATGATCTCCCCCACTGTAAGTTGTTTTTTTTTTTAAAGAAAAATGACAAACCTCATTTTAAATGTATTGTGTAAAACATTTTGGGAAAGGAGTAACAGTGTGTAATGTCTAGTGGGTGAGAGTTCCCTCCCCATTTCGGTTTCCGATGAAGTTTTAAAGAATCGTATTACTGTATGTTTTGAACATGAATAGTCTGGTGGTGCTTCCTCATAGCACAAGCTTAAATTGAGTACTGAAAACAGTCTTAAAAGCTAAATGTCTGCATGATGTTACATCTGTTGTACCTACTGAAAAACTTTGTATGTAAATGTACAGAATAAAAAGATGTTGTCCCATCAGTTTGTTTTCCTTGGTCTGTCTCCCTCACCGTGATTTTTGGTGAGCCCTCAACAAATTCCTACGTTCCTCTAAAATAGAACAAACTGATTTTTAATCGGGGTAATTAAATCAACACACTGATTTGCAACTAATTATCCTTTACATTCAGTTACGGAAGAACAGTTGACTCTACTTCCTGGGCTGTATAAATTAGGATCTCCTTCACCAGCTGCTTTTTGCTACTTGCATTGTCAGCTGTGCCTACCAGGTAAGAAAGGGCTCAGTGCTCCCATGTCAAATCCGCAATGTTGACAGTAAGTCTACAGCCCTGGATGTTCAAAACCCCTTTGGAGACAGCAAGAGACTGGCTGTAATCTGGGGTCGTGCATCAGCAACCTTTGGTTACAGTTTTTAATTGCTGCTAATGGGGCCACAAGAAGGTAAGTGCAGAACATTTTTCTCTATGGGATTATGACAGTTGTCTACAACGAGGTGGCCCAGCAGCAGCGTTACTGTTTTTCATCTGTATTGGAAGCTTGGCTGAGTCAGCTTGCAATAAAAAAACAACTTGATTTGCTTATCAGGTTGCTGTGCTCAGCATTCTTCCAAACTGCTGTGAATAGGTGCTACTCTCAGTAGCACAACAGGATGGTTGCAAATGGTCATTATGCCATTGGCTTTATGGTAGGTTTGAGTTTTGTTATTGGCTGGTTTGTTTTTTTTTTGCATAGCTGGTTTTTAGCTGCTATTTTTGTTGGACAAAGTAGCACAGGGATCTGCCTTTGAAAGGATATCCTACCCAAAAGCCAGTCTAGAGCTGTATCAACAGGCTGCTTTGTAGTGTTGGTATTGATTGCTCTGATTGTTCTAACAGGTATGTTCAACTTATACACCCCATGTTTTTCTAGCAGCCCAACAGTCTTACCTGCTGCTCCAAAAGTCAAGCTGTGCATTTTTCTTCTATTTAGGCCCTTGCTGTTGTATAGAAAACCCTTTGTGAAAACCTTCCAGTGTTCTCAGTGTCCAAGAGATGGAAGGAAATCCAGTGTTTAGCACTATTACAACCAATGGCAACTAAAATGATAGAGCAAGGCAATGATCATTTTATGTTACAGCTATTCAATACACAAACCACATGGTTCCATTTCTAATACTCAGCATTCCTACTAATGGCATTGTTCTCCTCTGAAGCAAAAGACAATGCTCTCTGGTACCCTCATAGGTTTTCATCTGAACAAGTAAAAGCTGCTGTACTGTGTTCAATACTACTGCGTGGTAAATCAATTGTACTGCTGGAATTTGGCACTGATTTCCCACTGATTTCACTGCAGGAAGGCCAGACACTGCATGCACTTCTATGATGATGTTATTGCGTGGCAGCATGTTTCTGGCCCATTTAACAGAGTAGTAAGTTTGGAAAAAAAAGAATTCCAGGTTCAGCTGTATTTAGGTCCAGCTACATTTAATAACAAATGCAAATTCAATCAAAGCAACACAAAGTATACTAAATGTCAGTGTGAAAAGTGCACTCACTTTTTCTGAAACAAAACCTTAAGTTATTGTACAATGATGCAAAGTCAGAACTTCTCGGGAAACGCCGTCATTTCTTCTTTGATCCTGTTTTCTATGAGTAAGGTGAAATTGCTGTCTGTGTTTTGAAGATTGTAGCTGACAAATATCTGTTTTTTGGTCTTCCTGGCTAAAACACAAAACAGAGTATTCAGGTAAAGTTTGCTCTTATATAAAAGTGATGAAAGTATTCTAAAAGGCCACCATACGGATTTTTATACCATCTCCACTCCTCCCATGATGGACCCAGCCATAAACAAACGGCCGAACAAGCACCCAAGCATTGGCATGTTGGGCAATATAAGCCATGCACATCACTGAAGTGAGCAATGTAGGCACGGTGACTATGAACTAGATTTTGGGCTGATGCAAATGCTCCTAGTCACTGGAAAAACTCCCAGTGACTTTCATGGATTTTGGACAATTCTTAAATTATAGTACAGTTTAAATGAAACAACAGACTACCTAAATCTCTTCATTGAAATTTGGTTTATATGTTAGTAAGTCAGTGCTATGAAAAACAGGGAAAGTCAACAGGAAAGTGATCAGGCCACCATTAAAGTTTTTTTTGTTTGCTTTATTATGAACCCCCTAAAAAGGCCCCTGAAAGTGTGCATCACTTTTGTCTGAGCCTCCTGTAACCTTTATTTATATGGTGTCTGTGAACACTCCAGGATGCCGGAGAACATTTTGGACATCACAAAACTAATCAGAATTTCCAGGCTACTGTACTGGTAACTACCTAGAGAGAGGTACTATAAAATCAAGAGCTGTCTTCCATGACAGAACTAATTAACAATGACAAAAACAATGTCCACTGGGGCAGGAAGACTTAATTATCAGAGTGAAATAGGTAACATAAAGAAGCATTTTATGAGTAAAATGGAATCCTTACTCAGATTTTACCATTACAATATATCTGTTTTGGAGCTCTTTTAATACACTGCAAAAAAAAAAAAAAAACCTTTGTGAAGAGTTTCTCACCATAGGAGAGAGGTAAGCACTAGGTTTAAAGTGAGATGGGCAAAATAAGAGACAAAAATGCTATTTGGGTCACAAGATACTCCTGGCAGGGAATAAACTGGGAGCTGACAGTCTCAAAGAGAAATCAGGCTGGTCTGATGAATATTCAGAAACATCATCTTAATTTAAAAACTGGAAATAAAGACACCAGAATGTGTAATATCTCAGTTCTTTTTAAACTGGAAAGCTAGCTTCAGAAAACCTGTATGTATATTTACAATACATATAATATGTAATTATTATATATAGAGAGAAAGTACAGTTGAACTACTCCTTTGAGGTATTTTAATGGCACAAATCGATTTATTACCATTTTCTGTTCTAACGGGCTACCAGCTTTCCAGTTTAGTACACAGAGGAAACCCCAGTGACCTGCTTCTGAAACTCAAGGACTCGTTTGCCTTTCAAGACTTGGCACTATGAAATGTTAATGTAATGCAACACGTTGCCACGATAGCAAAAAATTAGTGCTTGGCACCAGATTTTGTGGTACAAAGCAGCATGTTTTGTAAGCACTAGTGCTTCATCATTATACCCTAAGTGCCATGTTAATTCTGAACTAATTAATACCATTATTCTCTCTTAACAAGCCTGCAGCATACGCTGCAGTGTCAAAACTCAGCTTCTTGATTATGTTTGCCTAAGATCCGACTCAGTCTTGGAGATGAAGCTTTCTCAGCAGCCCCCTGTCTGAGACACTTGAGTGCCCAGAAGCACTGCAGCAGCACAGACTTGCTCCTGTGAACTGATGGAAGGAGCAAAGACCCACATCCAAGCTTGAGGAGGAAGAGTCAGGCATAAGTTTATAGTTTATAAATTAAGTTTATAGTTTATAAGTTTATATATCCCATTTGTGCCAAGTGGGATACAGCTGTGCCCAGCTCCAAAAGACTCAAAGAAGAGGTTGAGGTGATGTCCACCAAGATCTCACCAACCCCTACAGAGGGAAGATGAGGACGTGACACTAGTCAGCAGTCACGGGCTGGAAGCTCTGTGATTTCAGGACGTGCAGATAAGGGAGGCACAAATGGGGCACTAAATTCACGGGGTTTTGTCTAGAAGTGGATTTCTCTACCCCCCAGGAAATAATTAGGATTTAGGTTTCTCAACTAGGTAAATACACCTCATGCTAGAGCAAGCAGTTAGGGTGGTGGGAAGCAGTCTCTGCCCCTGATACAGACAGAAAGGGGTAAAAAGAGGAACAGGAACACAGTGAGTGTCCCTTCAGCAGTGAGGAAAATAAATAAAAGAGGAAATTTGGGAAGAGATAGAGCCAATACACTAAATACAGCTGTTCTGAATAGGAACCCTACCAGACTACAAAGAAAATAAGGGGAGGATGCGCATACACTGACACACAGAAGCACTGAAACTCCTGCTCCAGGGAAGGAAACCTGGCACTGCAGGAACAAAATGCAGGTGATAGAATGTAACTGGAAAGCACAAGAAATAATAATACTTGCCTCCAGGTGGCATTGTGTGCTACTTAAATCGGTGCCTGCCAAGAGCAGAATGGAAGCAGCACAGAAAAAAATGGTGACAGCATGGAGAGAAGAAAGAAAAAAAAAAGCTATTGCCTGCCTGAAGGTTACCACATGGCAGGGTGGTTAAAAAGGCTACCTCAGAAACACAGCTATGGGTCAGATTGATTTGGCTGTGAATGGTGATCTCTGTTATTACAGCAGTTGTGGGAGTACTGAGGACTTAATTTCCCGGAGGAAAGCTAAGCAGCAGTAAATGCCGAGCCTGGTATTTCTATTCAAGGCAGAACACAGATTTCTTTACCACACACTTCGTGAAACAAAGAAGATACAGAGATGCTTAGTGAGGATCTTGCAGTGGTTTGGGGAAAATAATTGGGGCCTAAGTGACCATGAGCTGACTTGGCCTACATTAAATTGCTGGATGGAAGCCTAAAAACTAAGGTGCATGAATCAGAAAGATTTGATTCTCTTCTCAAAATTAGCAAATGTGAAGAGGAAGCATGTGATTAGTCAAAGTCAGAAGTGTTATCGACTTTCCAATCAGAAGTGGAAAAGGCCTATAGGCCCTCCTCAATATAGTACGCCCTAAGCAGGAGAGAATGGGTAACAACAGGATCTATAAAGAATACAAATGGGAGTGACTAGCAAGAAAAACTGCAACTAAGAGGTTAGTGGGCACAGAAATGGGAAATGTGACCCCTCCTAGAATACTGAGAGAACTAACAAGACATGGCCATCACAAATTCTAGCTATGAAATCTGAAATGAACCTTTTGCTAGTGACAATAATGCAGGAGCAGGTGGGAACCACCTGCCCAGCTGAGGTGTTAGCTGCACAAATCTCAGAGCATGATCTGCAAGAAACGAGTCTGTACAAGCAGAAGGGCAAAGGGAAAGTGAAATAAAACTGTAACACCTTATCCGATGATAGCAGTGTCTGACTACATTCTTGCTAGCTGAGGTCTTACGGCTAATGCAATGGCTGCATGTAAAGAAATGATGTTGCACAGTGTCCCGTGGAGTTTTTTAAGTGGAAATGATTAAATCTGGTGAGAGACAGCGCTGCCAGCAGCCTGCTACGGTGCCTGCCAGAAGATATCAGGATGAGGCAGGGCACTAGTGCTGTGTTTCTTGTTGAGCAACCCTTTCTGATGTATGTAGGGGTGGCCGAGGAGAAAGTGGTGTAGGCTCATGGAGCCGCCTGAGGACGCAGCCTGCTGACACGCCGCCTGCAGTGAAGATCCGGATCAGGAGGAAGCACTACCCGGCTCCTTCAGCTGCAACACGAGAAGCACGCCTCCCCACACCCCAAAAAACAACCCCCGAGGAGCCCGGGTGTCCCCGGGCACGATGCTTTTGGGGCTGCCCCAGCCCCTTCGCCCACCCCCACGTACCCAGGCGCTGCGCCAGGCAGGCGGAGGCGGTGTCCGAGGGGTCCCCGAGCAGCGATGTGGACACGGGCACGCCGTCCTGCGGGCAGAGCACACGGCTGGCGAGGGCTGTCCCCACCGGGGACGGGGATAGGGACAGGGATGGGGACAGAGATGCTCACCCGGGGGCTGCACATGGCCACGGCCAGGCTGGACAAGGCGGGCGCGGCGCCCACCCAGAGGAAGAGCGAGTCCCGCAGCCGCATGGCGTGGAAGTGCACCCGCTGCTCGCCCAGCCGGCCGCTGAAGTCGTGCAGGACGATGCCGGCCACCGCCTCCTCCTTCCCTTCCTTCCCTTCCTCCATCCGCACGGAGCCCGCAGGCCCTGCCCAGCAGCGCCCGCCCCGCACGGCGCACACGGGGAGGGCGGGCACCGGCTGAGCGCCGCCCTCGGGACGGCCCCGGCTCTGGCTCAGGCCCCGACTCGCCCAAATTTCCCTTCCTGAGCGCTAAGGCCTCGCATCAAAGCACCAGGAATAATAATAAATAAATAAATAAACAAAATATAAATAAATAAAACAAAAACCATCCCCTGTCTTAACGCATCTCCCTGCGCCTCCCACAGACCAAGCCCTCCTCCCTGCTCGCTTCTGCCCATGCGGTGCTAAGCCCAGCCGGCCTCTCAGCCGCCCTCCACGCACAGGATCAGCCCGCAGCCACCTCCTCTGCCCTACATTTGTCCCCTGCTGCTCGCCCAAGCGGTTACGGCAGGCTCGGGCTACGCCACAGCACGTTTGCTGGTCCCCGGCCTGCCCAAAGGCTTTGTCTCCACGTGGGTTGGCCTCCAAATGGTGGCTGCAGACACGTTGCTGCTCCAAAAGTGGCCTCCAGCTGTCCCAGCGGCGTGCTGGGGACTGACTTTGAGCCCTCAGGAACTGCAGGAAGCAGGCAAACTGGTGACAAAGCTGCCTTGGAAGGGGCCGAGTGCTGTTTGTGTGCTCCTGGCAGGCTCCAAGCACTTCCCTTTGTGTCACATTCCTCTTTCTGCAGCCATAGGTTTGCTCTTTCTTCAGAGGTGGGGTACGTCAGTTGTCTAAACCAGAGAAGTCTATCACAGCTATATCACAGCTATTGCAGAAAATAATTTAAAAAAAAAAAAAAAAAAAAAAGGCAAAAAAAAAAGCACTGGCTATTTCTACCAGGAGCCACACAGGTGTTGGTGGTGAGGTTCCTGTGATTAACCATCTGCAGGTGTTGGAAATTTGCCCCAGGCTACCTTTATCAGGGAAGAGAAAGAAGCAATTTAGGGCACAGTTCAGCTGAGCTGCTTTAGATCTCTCCTGAGGGAAGAGGAGCATCCCCCTCCTATGTGCTTTCTATCAGCTGCAAGAGAGGTTAGGGTGAAAGGCAAAGTTCTCAGGGCTTTGTAGACAAATTTATGTGTGTGGGTAAGTCGTTCTCTAGGTGTTCAGAGCTAGTTTCTCAGCTGCATCTGGGCAGAGTTAGCCCTATAGAGCCCAGTAGAGGATCCAATCTAACAAAGCTCTAGTCTAGAGTATCTCTTCCTACTAGGAAGAGATTTGGGCCTCTTTGTATGCTAAATACATGTTTAAATGATCTCCTGGTTTGAGGTGGGAGTTCACCAGTTTCTTCCCTGGTGTTACCGCATCAAGTACAGTTTTCTTTTCTTACGTCTAAGACTGTCTACAGGCTTGCTCCTCCCTAGGGGGTAGCAGCACCTTTTTTTGTCACATTCTGATCTTTTTCTTCATCAGGACTCCCTTCCTACATGAGGAGCTCTAGTAGCTCTCATTAGAAGCCTAAGACCTGCAGTCCTCTGAAGGTAAGTCCTCGGGCTCTTCCACATGTATGTGGTTCTACGTATCTAACTCTTTTTTGTGAAATGTAGCTGCTCGCTGTAAATCACACTAGGTCTGCATTCAAGCTCAGAAGAGGAAAAGCATTCATCTGGCAAGACAAATGGGGGGGTAAGCGTTTCCATTTGCAGTGCAGTTGTGAAGAGCGAGCGGAGCTGTGCAGAACCAGACCATCAAGTGTGAAATGTATTTCCTAATTAAAGCACTGCAAGGCCATCAGAGCCCCTGAAAAATTAGAGTGGAAAGTGATCCAGCAGCAAAGGAAGCCTTGTACGTTTCCTTTAATGCTTTCATCTTTATTCTGCAGCTGTGAAAGCTGAGCTCATTATAGTCAGTCTTATTTGTCAGGTACAAGGCTAGAAAGAGCATAAACTGCTGTGAGACACCAGATAGCAAATCAATGATAAAATGAAGATTCTGCAGCAAAAGTGCTGCATGCGTACATGGATACACTTATACTCCTGCTGAGATGAGGTCCAAGCCCCAGGAGTGTGGTTTAAAGGCAAGCACTTCCATACTCCTTTTTCTTCTCCAAAATTTATGTTGCCCGTGGGAGTTACCAGATCCTAGACCCTGGCTCTGCAGCCTTTCCTCTTGTATAGCTCTAAGCCAGGAGTAAATCTTCCTGTTAACTCAAAAGTGAGTAGATGCACGTAATTATGAGCTGGGATGTCACTGAGAGAAGGAAATGTTTTCTGATTCTGAAGCGCATCCTGCAATTTTGCTTCTGCATAAGCATGAATTTGACGTGTGAGAAAGCAATCGACCATTAATATTTATTGGTGAAGGCTCTGATGTCTCGGAATGTTCCAGGTTTCTAAATTTGTTGCCCTTCTGCAGAGGAGTAAATGTTTGTTAATTAAAGGCAAAGGAAGCCTCCCAGCTTGGAGCCAGGCTGCTCCAACAGTGGCAGCTCCAGGCTTTGGGGGGCCTGCTTGGTGTTGACTTGGAAAATCATTTTGTGTGAACTTCCTTCAGTGGCATGGGTGTCTTAAGGGCTTTTCCTCTTCCTATAGCATTAGGACACCTGGGTATCTGATTTTTTTTGGTCATTTTTGGATTATTTTTTCAGTTGGACAGATCCTCTGATGTAGCCGGCCATGTCACTGCACCAATGTTCACGCCAGCCCAATGGAGGTCAACGTAAAGCTAGCACAAGCAGACAAGAAAGGGAGAAGTACCTCTGCTTATCCTGTTGCAATCTGAACCAACTTCAGGTGGGGCTGCCCCAGTCCTGCTTTCCAGGCCTCACATGATATGATGGTGAGTCAGTCTGGGGAGCTACACTGGTCAAAAGCTATTTTCTTGTTAGCCAGATCAGCTCCTTGAGGAACAGGAGCTGAGGGAGGGGAAGCAGCTGCTTTGGCAGCAGCTAAAGGGGGGCCTTTGGCTGTAATAAACTGCTCCCAGAATATCTACTCACAGTATTTTCTTCACCTGAGGCCTCAAAATGCTTCTGTCAAGTGCTGGTCAGCTTCATTTTATGGACCCAGAAAGGAGACCAAAAAGGGAATTCAAGGTTAGCATTTGAAATTGTTGCAGAGAACAGAGCAAAGTCACAGTTTACGAGATCTTAAGGGGGAGTGCGCCAAGCTCATATTATGAATCTCATGATCCAAAGCAATATCAAGGCTTGCTCCTCCCTGAAAAGATCATGTCTGGAAAAGCATGTGTAAGCAAATACAAAATTTAGATGTACAAGCAACTGCATGCCTGTGATAGCAGCTCTGCTAATGCTATCACAACAGCTATAAAATCCCCCTGGTGCCAGGGTCCTGGGGGCATCTGTTGATGCCTAGATAGGCATTGCCTAAGGAAATCCAGTTCCTGATTGCCAAAAGACTTAAGGTAGCAGCTTTTCTTCTTTTGTGGGGTTGTTAAACTCAGCTGCTGGCATTTCTTATGGGGTGGGCAAGGCCCGGGATGCAGATGGCACAGCAATCCTCTGACCAGCAGCTTGCCATGATCCTCTGTGCAGCGTCCAGGTCCAGAAATCAGATTTCATGCCTGCCTGGCACGGTGGCCTTATGCAAATGCCTTCCACTCGCTGCTTTGCTTCATTCATCTGCAGAGTGGAAGGGTGTGATAATCCCCGACGATCTCCCTGCAGTTGAATGGATGTCTGTATAAAGCAGCTCTTGAGAAGCTTTCTGAGCACGGAGTGAATTTCTGCTGTTATAAAAAGAAAGCGTTTCATTCTGTTGTTATATGAGTCACTGGAGGAACTCGTCGTAGGTCTGTCGGAGTACTCGAGAAGCACGGGTCCGTAGCTGCTGGATGGGAGGCACTAACACAGAGTGACTCATTGCTCCCCTCGGGGACGAGAAGAGGTTTTTGCAGTCAGATGGAAATTGTATTTTATATGCAGATAGAATTCCTCACCGTGGAGAAATCCAAAACAGCTCACAAACACTGACTCCAGTGTGTAAAAGATGTACTGAGCTCTGCAGATGCTGTTACATACCTGTGATGAGGCCAGGAAGGGATTTGGGAGAAAGGGCATGAAAGCCTAATGGAAATGAGCTTCTGAAAGGCTAAGAGAAAGGAGGGGAGAGGGTGGGGGGACGGTGGCATTGAAAAATGTTTTCCCTTAGATAGATAAATTTAGATGCATAGATTTCCCATGACACACAGCACACCTGATGGATCCTGCTATTTTTCTGTCCTTGGGTCATGGAGCAAGACCAAGGCTCAGCATGCAACATCCTCGGGGGATGCTGTGTCCTCAAATCCAGTCAGGCTGTGAGTTTGCTACAGCCCCCGAGTGCAGGGGCTGACTTCTCCGATCGCGTGGAGTTATTTCCTAGCCTTGGAAATCCCTGACTCAACATGCAGTGCTGGCAGCCCTCTGAACAAAGGTTTGTCTGAGATTCAAGCTGCTTTTGGTGATGAATGAAGCCCTTTTACTCAGAAGGCAGTTTGATATTGCCGCAGCCATGCTTCTGGCCTCTTCCCTGTCTCTCTGGGTACTCTTCCTTTGTTGATGGCAGAATTTCCATGAATCTTCTCTTTTCCTCCTTAGACTGGGCCTTGGGCTTAAGAGTCTCCATCAGCTGAGGCCTGCAGGTTTGGCTGGAGATGTCTGTGTGCAGCTTCCCCCTCTCTCAAGCGTGCCAGCAAGTGCCTGTGTCTCTGTCTGGTTCCCCAACAGTCGCTCTCTTTCATTGCTTCTTACAATAATGCCATGGCCTTTCAAGTTTTCCATTTTCAAGCAAAACCAGCTGGACAAAATCAGCTTTGGTTATTTTGCTTCCTCCTCCCCGGGTGAGGAGCAGGGCTAGCAGGCCTGGCACTGTCCCCTGGCAGCCCTCGAGTGTTTGCTCAGAGGTGGGCTGTCTGCAGCCAGGCTCCTCTCTCTGTTTTTCCCTCTTGCCCTGTTGAATACAGGGTCTTAACCCAAACAGCAAGCATCCCAAGCAGTAGCTCAGTATTTGTGAGTCATATCAGAGGTGTGTCTGATTTCCTGGCAGAAGTATGTCAAACAGCTGCCGCTGGCATCTAGCCAGCCGGTCTGAAGGGAGATTACAGAGCATAACCTTCAGGAAAAATCGCTTTGGTGACTGGTCTCCGATCTCTGGGGTTAAAAATAAAATAAATTAGCGCTGCCTCTGTAAAAGCAGGGTGAATCCAAACAAGAGGGGGGTGTTACCTGTTGGTCTGCTGACAGAACAGGCAGAATAACTAAGCTGTCAGAACCCACTATCCCAGGAAAATGTTGCAACAGCTCCTTTACTGTGTTTTCAGTCTAGTAGGATCCCATCAGGCTGAAGATTTGCCTTTAAAAAGTCAGTGTCCCAGCCTTGAATGGCAACTGAAAACATCCTTCCCCGCTGCCTCTTGGAAAGCATAACAAGTCATCTCCTTTCCCACCTGGCTGCTTGTTGGAGAGAGCTGGGATGGTGCCTTTCCCCCAGGGCTGAGGGCAAATGCATGCACTGAGTGCCATAAAGCACATGTTTATTTTGTATTTCTCAGGAGGCAAGCAAAAATGGGGTGAGAATGATCCCCAGACCATGTAGTGAACTGTAAATAGGAAAATCGGGGGAGAAAGGACAAAGGAATTCACAGCATTTGGGGATAATACCTTTCCTTAACGCATTTGGGATCTGAGCCAGGCTCTACTGAAATCAATTGAAAAAACACCTGCTGGCTTCTGTGAGCTGAGCATAAGATTTCTAGTAATGAACCTTGCTTATCACTCACCTGGAGTGCTGCAGTTGGGCTGGTGGAGACGTGCCCTCGGCCCCAAAATGCCTGCATGTGTACAGCCGGGCAGGGGGGCTGTGACAGTGCAAGGGCTGGAAGTGGCATCTTCACCTGCCACCCGCTCCAGTTTGGCAAGGAGGCCTCCAGCTTTAATAAGGCGGGGGATCAAAGCCTTTGTTTAAATCCTGCTGTTGGGAGAAAGGCGACGCTGCTCTCCCAAAAAGCATAGCAGAGCCTCGTGTGGCTGCCCCAAATCCTGCTTCTCTCAGCTGCAAATTCCTGCCCCCCTGATTTTCTCCCTCCAGCCTGAGGCAGGAGAGCAACTGATGCTGCAGAGCGAGAAATCTTTCCGAGCAGACATTTTATTTTCCTGTAAACCAGAAATTTAACACACACACACACATGAGTGATCTGGGGCCATTTTTTTTCCTTCAACCCTCGAAACATTATTTTTTAGCCTTCTGAAAGCTGCATATCGGAGGCACCTGAGAGCAGCCGAAGCAGCTGGCTGATAAGATCTCTCCAAGGCAGTTTGCACAGCCCTGCTTTTTGCAGGGAGAGAGAAAGTGTTAACGGGTTGACAGCACGCTTCCTTGCAGCAAGCAGCGCTGCTCTCCGCAATGCTGCTGCAGGGAGGAGAGAGCAGGGTGGTGGCAGAAGACCTTGAAAAATGCTTTGTTCGAGCCCGTCGCAGAGCTGCCTGCTTCGGTACGGTACCAAGCCCTAGCTGGCCAAACAAGCAGCAGATTAAGCAGGAGCCTGAGTCCCATAGCGATGTGGGGCAGCGTGTTGCTCTTAGATTTTCAAGGGTGAGTGTCCTTGAGGTGGGAAGAAATGTTTAAACAAGAGGGCTGGAAGCAGAAGGGAGTGTTTCCTAGGCATCGTGTGGATTGTGCGTCGGTGTGGCTCCAGATTATGACCTGGTGACTGCAAATGAGGTCCCAGCAGGGCTTTTGCCCTCTGCTGCTGCAATTTGCAGCCAGGTTCTCAAACTATGCAAATGTGCCCGATCTCGGTTCAGACGGCATACAAAAAAACTGCTTAGGACAAAAAAGGACTGAGACCAGATCTCAAGAATAACTCAGGCTGGCGAGTGAATATTTTCTTTCATCCCTTGCTCTTTTGCATTCAGTGAATTTGTTCCACATTGCTGTAGAAACAGCTGCATCAGCACCAGCGCCCAGGCTGAAGCCTAATTAATATTTATGCCCCGAGAGCTGTGCACACAGGGCTGGAATCGCCTTGCAGCCATTGGGTAGGGGACCGCAGCATCAGTACAGCATCTTGCCACGTTTGGTGTCCGTGCTACGGGATTTATTAGAGCACGGATCAATTTCTCATCAGCACCCCCGCGCCATCTCAGGAAAAGCTCTGCCCTTCGCCTCCTGCCTGCTCTTTGCTTCTAATTGGCCCATGATTTCCTAATTAGGGGCACCATCTTTCATCTCTCTTTTGCCTTTCTGTGGTTTGTATTCTCATCTACTGCACCAGGTCTGAGACACTGCTAGGTGCTCGAGTTGTCAGGAGTGGGGACAGGCTTACAGGGAGGGTGACACTGAGCACAGAGCCGTGTCCTGCATCGTGCCCTTTCCCACCAGCCAGCACGGGTTGGCCCAGATGCCCAGAAATGGCAAATTGCATCCATACAAAATGTTCTCCTCGGCGTGGGCACAGCCCTGTAATCCTCCTGAATAACCAAAGGAGCTGCCCTACACCCAGGCCCTCCCACACCTGGTCTGCGGTGCAGGACCTGAACCTGCAAGGGTCCAAACTTCTCTTTTTTGTGTGTGTTTCGGCATCAGACCCCTCGAGATAAGAAAATATAGGTGTTTTGGGGGGGCTGGGCATAACTTCAGGCCTTTAAGTCATTCACATTGTGCTGAGAGGAGCCCCCAGACGAGGATGTGGGCCGTGGGATGTGGACCATGGGAAATCAGCTCGGGGAGGGACAACGTTGTGGCTTTTTTTTTTGTTCTTCCTTTCTGCCGTGCCGCCTGCTTCTGCCACCGGGCCGGTTGCCTGGGGAACTGCCGAGGGTGGCATCCAGCCCGGGCCCCCGAGTGCCCCACACGTGGATGCGAGATGAGCGCTGGGAGAAAAGAGCCGGGCAGCGGGGCAGGAGCAGCAGCAGGGCAGCTCCTTTCCCAGAGGGAATCGCCGAGACACCACCGTGGTGGCCCTTTGGGTTGTAAATGCTCCCTGTTGTAAGTGCGTGCACCTTACGCCCGTCCGAAGGCGTCCGAGGTTATCTGGGGGGTCTTACCGAGGGGTTTGGAAAAGGAAGGACCTGCTTTCCCTCCCGCATCCCCCGGTAACACAAAGTATTTATTGTGGGGATATTTCTTTTGGAAATAACCTCTTTTCTTTTTTCTCTCTCTTTTTTTTTTTCTCTCTCTCTTTTTTCCTCTCTTTTTTTTCTTTTTTTTTTCTCTCTTTTTTCTTTTTTTTTCCTCTTTTTTTTCCTCTCTTTTTTTTTCTTTTTTTTTCCTCTCTTTTTTTTCTTTTTTTCCTTTTTTTTTCCTCTTTTTTTTCTCTCTCTTTTTTTTTTTATTTTCTTTTTTCCCCCTTTTTCACCGTCCAGTCTCATCAAGCTCTGTAGCGGGCATACGCTAGGATGCTACCACCTCCCAATAATAAATAAATTAAAAAAAATATGAAAACTGTGAAAAACAAGAAGTGACTTTATGTCAGGAATAAGCAACCAGGGCGGGTTCCTTTCTTTATAGCGCTAGCCCTCCGCTTTCCGTGCCTGGGCTGGGCTTTTAAAATGGCTCCCTCCGCAGCCTCCAGCTGCCGGGCAGGGGCTCGCCGGTAGAGAAGCGGGGCAAGGCGCTCCCTGACACTGGGGCAGCCCCCACGGAGCCCGGGCTGTGCCGCACCGAGCCCCCGGGCACCGCCCCGAGCCCCCGGCACCTGCCCGGCTCCGCGCCTTTGTCCCCGGGGCGGTGGCGGCCGGGTGGGGGAGGCCCCGCCCTTAGCCCCGCCCCCTGCGCTCCCATTGGCTGCCCGCGATAACCCACGGCCCTGTAACCCACCCGACGTCACTCCGGGGGGCGGGGCCTCAGCGGGGGCTTTAAAGGCGGGCGCGGGGCGCGGCCGCCGCAGCCCGGGCGGGAGGGAGGCGACGGCGGAGGGAGGGAGGCTGCGGCGGGCGGCGGTGGCACCGGGACCGGCACCATGCGTGAGATCGTGCACATCCAGGCCGGGCAGTGCGGCAACCAGATCGGCGCCAAGGTACCGCCCGCGCCCCCCGGGGGCTGCCCCCGACGGTGGGGGTGCACCGGGCATCGCCTCCCCCGGTGCTGGTATCGGGAGCCCGGCTGCGGCTCGGTGCTGGGCGGTGCTGCTCGGATCGGATCGGATGGATGGGATCGGATCGGTCCCGGGGGGCTGCGGGGGGTGGTGGTGGATCCCCTGGCGCCGCGTGGCGGGGCGGTGGTCGGGGCTGTGGGGGAGAGAGGGGGCGGGGTCGCGGTGACGCCCCCTTTGTGTCTGTGTCCCCCCCCTCCCCACCCCCGGTCCCCGCAGTTCTGGGAGGTGATCAGCGACGAGCACGGCATCGACCCCACCGGCAGCTACCACGGGGACAGCGACCTGCAGCTGGAGAGGATCAACGTCTACTACAATGAAGCCACCGGTAACTGGCCCCCGGGGGCTGGGCTCCTGCTTGGGGGCTCGGGGGAATGGGGGTGAGGTGCTCCGGGTGTGCGTCCTGCTGTGGGAGCTGTGCCCTGTTCCTACTGCGCCGCTGGTGGCTGCCTGGCACAGCCATCGTAGCTGCTTTGTGTGCCTGGTCCCTGTCCCCCTCCCTCCTAATGCCCTTTCCATATGGGCGGTGAATCCTGCAGGGGGGTTGGGGGGAGCCCAGCGGTGCCTTCATCGCGCTGGCTGCTGCCTGCCGGGCTGTAACACTGACACCATTCCCTCCCCCAGGCAACAAGTATGTCCCCCGTGCCATCCTGGTGGACCTGGAGCCCGGCACAATGGACTCCGTGCGCTCCGGTCCCTTTGGGCAGATCTTCCGACCAGACAACTTTGTCTTTGGTGAGTAAATGCAGTGCAGCTCTCCCAGAGCATGAGCAGTTGGCTCACAAAGGCTCAGTGCAAGTGACTGGGGTGGGGCTGGATCACTGCGACAGGGCTGGGAGCGAGGGATGAGCCCCCTGAGGCAGGAGAAGACAGATCCCAGCTCCTCATGAAGGCACTAATTGTCACCTTGCTTCTGGCACCTGCAGGACAGAGTGGGGCTGGCAACAATTGGGCCAAGGGGCACTACACCGAGGGCGCTGAGCTGGTGGACTCTGTGCTGGACGTGGTGAGGAAGGAGTCGGAGAGCTGCGACTGCCTGCAGGGCTTCCAGCTGACCCACTCGCTGGGCGGTGGCACCGGCTCGGGCATGGGCACCCTGCTGATCAGCAAGATCCGCGAGGAGTACCCCGACCGCATCATGAACACCTTCAGCGTCATGCCCTCCCCCAAGGTGTCGGACACGGTGGTGGAGCCCTACAATGCCACCCTTTCTGTGCACCAGCTGGTGGAGAACACGGACGAGACCTACTGCATCGACAACGAGGCCCTGTACGACATCTGCTTCCGCACCCTGAAGCTGACCACTCCCACGTACGGGGACCTCAACCACCTGGTGTCGGCCACCATGAGCGGCGTGACCACCTGCCTGCGCTTCCCCGGGCAGCTGAACGCCGACCTGCGCAAGCTGGCGGTCAACATGGTGCCTTTCCCCCGGCTGCACTTCTTCATGCCGGGCTTCGCCCCCCTGACCAGCCGCGGCAGCCAACAGTACCGCGCCCTGACGGTGCCCGAGCTCACCCAGCAGATGTTCGACTCCAAGAACATGATGGCCGCCTGCGACCCCCGCCACGGCCGCTACCTGACGGTGGCGGCCATCTTCCGCGGCCGCATGTCCATGAAGGAGGTGGACGAGCAAATGCTCAACGTGCAGAACAAGAACAGCAGCTACTTCGTGGAGTGGATCCCCAACAACGTCAAGACGGCCGTCTGCGACATCCCGCCGCGCGGCCTCAAGATGTCCGCCACCTTCATAGGCAACAGCACGGCCATCCAGGAGCTCTTCAAGCGGATCTCGGAGCAGTTCACGGCCATGTTCCGCCGCAAGGCTTTCTTGCACTGGTACACCGGCGAGGGCATGGATGAAATGGAGTTCACCGAGGCCGAGAGCAACATGAACGACCTGGTCTCAGAGTACCAGCAATACCAGGATGCCACTGCTGACGAGCAGGGTGAATTTGAAGAGGAGGGAGAAGAGGATGAAGCGTAAAGTGGTAATGGGTAGGAGTAAAGTATAGTCTGATCAGGCAAGTGTTCATTGAGAGGAGAAATCTGTGCAGTTGTGCTGAAGCATGCGTTTCTTTAATTTGGTGCTCTCCACTGTTGCTTCTGTCAGCAGTTTTGTATCCTTGACTGTCCAATGT